TCCGTGTCCCAGACCGGCCTCTTCGGCGATGCAGTGGAGAACTTCGCCCAGCAGTTCTCCGCCGCACAGAAGCAGACCGAGGCCATCAAACACATCCTGCCCCAGCGTGCAGCTGCTGCCTCCACCCGGCCGCCCCCGCTCCCGCGCAGCAAACACAGCAGTCTCCAGCAAAGAAGCGCAGTGGAGCCGTTCGCAGGGCAGACACCCTGCCTGTCCAGGCCCCCGCCAAACCTGGTGGCAAGAGGAAGAGCAAGAGGCCCTGAGACGGGCGAACCAGAGATGGAGGGAGCTACTCTTCGGGAGATGGTGAACGCACCACTCCCTCCCCCAGAGGAGGGCCAGGCAGAGAATCTTTTGTTTAGTTTTTCCCTGCCACTGACTTCACGGTGAGTGGTACCCAAAACCTCAACAAAAGAGCAGTTTCTTCTATCTCTGGATCCCCAGAGGGGACGGGGTGTTGTGGACGGGCCACTCTCGGATCACACTCACCCTCCTCTCTCGCCAATGAGCAGCTGTGGGTGGTTTGAGAGTGCGAGCAAACGTACTACTCACGCACCCTCTGCCCGAACGCAGGTAAGTGTTGCACACACACAGACCCCGCTTCGGACCGGCTTCGAGATACCCGGGCCGGGTCCCTGCGTTCCTCTTCGCTGCCCCACTGCGGGTATGTCGGTGGTTCCATTGGTGCCGCTTGTTTGGTATCTGGGGGCCTGGCTAGCGCTTCCCAGTTTGTTTCGCTGGCTTCTTCAGACCATCAGACTCGTCTATGTGATTCAGTTCGCCCGGCGTCCTCCCAAGTTCAGGGGCATCCACTTCACTTCAATGAAGGCTGCAGATGCCCCTGTCTTGCATGCAGAGATTGCAGTCCTATTGGCGAAGGATGCGATCGAGCCGGTCCCTCCAGCCGATATGAAGATGGGGTTTTACAGCCTTTACTTCATAGTACCTAAGAAAGGCGGTGGGTTACGACCAATCTTGGATCTTCGCGTTTTGAACCGGGCCCTTCACAAGCTACCGTTCAAGATGCTCACGCAGAAGCGCATCATCGGGTGCATCCGTCCCTGAGATTGGTTTGCAGTGATCGACCTGAAGGACACGTGCTTTCATGTTCTGATACTTCCGCGCCCCAGGCCATTCCTGCGGTTCGCGTTCGGGAGACGAGCACATCAGTACAAGGTCCTGCCCTTCGAGCTGTCCCTGTTGCCCCGTGTCTTCACGAAAGTCGCAGAGGCAGGTCTTGTTCCCCTGAGAGAGCGGGGCATTCGCATTCTCAACTACCTCGACGACTGGCTCATACTAGCTCAGTCTCAGGATCAGTTGTGCGAACACAGGGACTTGGGTACTCACGCACCTCAGCCAGTTGGGCCTTCGGGTCAACTGGGAAAAGAGCAAACTCTCCCCGACGCAAAGGATCTATTTTCTCGGTATGGAGTTGGATTCGGTCGAACAAACAGCACACATCACGTAGGAACGTGCTCAGTCAGTGTTGAACTGCCTGGATATGTTCAAGAGCAGAACGGCAGTCCCACTGAAACAGTTTCAGAGGCTCCTGGGGCATATGGCAGCTGCAGCGGTAGTCACGCCGCTGGGGCTTCTTCATATGTGACTGCTTCAATACTGGCTTCATGGCCGAGTCACAAGGTGGGCGTGGCAACGCGGCACTCACCGGGTCCTAGTCACACCGGCCTGCCGCCAAACATTCACCCCGTGGTCAGACCTTGCGTTTCTCCAGGTAGGAATGCCCCTGGAACAGGTCTCCAGGCATGCTGTGGTTTACACGGATGCCTCTACAACCGGCTGAGGGGCCACGCATGACGGGCATGCAGTGTCGGGGGTTTGGACATGTCCCCAACTGCACTGGCACATCAGCTGGCTAGAGTTGTTAGCAGTACGCTTTGCCTTGAACCGTCTCAAAGGGCACTTATGAGGCAAGCACATACTGGTCCTCACAGACAACACTGTGACCATTGCGTACATCAACCGACAAGGTGGTCTACGCTCCCGTCGCATGTCGCAACTCGTCCGCCACCTCCTCCTCTGGAGTCAAAAGCATCTGAGGTCACTTCCTGGTCTACACAACCGGGCAGCTGACGTGTTGTCACGAGCTGCGCTCCCGGGAGAATGGAGACTCCCCAGACTGTCCAGCTGATTTGGAGACGTTTCGGAGCCACTCAGGTAGATCTGTTTGCTTCTCCAGAGACCTCTCACTGCCAGTTGTTTTTCTCCCTGACCGAGGGCACACTCGGCATGGACGCACTGGCACACAGCTGGCCTCGGGGCCTGCGCAAGTATGTGTTTCCCCCAGTGAGCCTTCTTGCACAGACACTGTGCAAGATCAAGGAGGACATGGAGCAGGTCCTGCTTGTGGCGCCCTACTGGCCCACTCGGACCTGGTTCCCAGAACTGATGCACCTTGTGACCGCCCCTCCCTTGCAGATTCCTCTGAGGAAGGATCTACTGACTCAGAGACGAGGCACCCTTTGGCGCCCGTGTCCAGACCTCTGGAAACTTCATGTCTGTTCCCTGGACAGGGGTTCTAGGTGACCTACCCCAGGAGGTAGTTGACACCATCACTTCGGTGAGAGCACCATCTACGAGACATGCTTACGCCTTGAAATGGAACCTGTTCTTCGAATGGTGCATTTCTCACTGAGAAGACACTCGATGATGCCCGATCAGAGTCGTGCTGTCCTTTTTGCAGCAGGGGTTGGAGTGAAGGCTGTCTTCCTCCACCCTTAAAGTCTATGTGGCTGCAATTGCTGCCAATCACGACCCCGTGGAAGGAAAGTCGGTAGGGAAGCATGACCTGGTCATCAGGTTCCTTAGGGGGGCGAGAAGGTTAAATCCTCCCCGGCCCCCCTCTATACCCTCTTGGGACCTGTCTCTGGTGCTCAAAGCACTACAGCAGGGCCCATTTGAGCCTTTGCAGTCAGTTGAGCTGAAGTTTCTATCAATGAAAACGCTGCTCCTGCTTGCACTGTCCTCTATCAAGAGGGTAGGGGACCTGCACCGGACACAAAGCTTCAGGACCTCAGATCAGCTCTTTGTCTGTTATGGAGGCCGGCAGAGGGGGAAGGCTGTCTCCAAGCAGAGGATGGCCCACTGGATAGTGGATGCCATCACCCTGGCTAATCTGGCACAGGGTGTGCCCTGCCCATTCAGGTTGCGAGCTCACTCTACTAGAAGTGTTACATCCTCCTGGGCTTTGACTCGTGGCGCCTCGCTGACAGGTATTTGTAGAGCTGCGGGTTGGGCGACCCCCAACACATTTGCTAGATTCTATAGCCTTCGTGTGGAGCCAGTATCCTCCTGTGTTCTCACCGCAAATGGGTAGAAGCACTGAGAGGCCCCGGTTAGTGTCTGCTTGCTATAATTGCTCCAGAGTGTCCGTACTGTAGACCCTGTTGAGCTTCTCCATCCCCTCTGCTGCCAGACGTGGCAGAACGTCCGGCGCCAGGCCCTCACTTGATGAATCCATGAGAACCGGTATAGGGCTGGGTTCCATACGTAGAGACCTAAGTGGATCCCATATGTGTAAAGTCCATGGTATAGCCTCAGAGTCCGTGTTTCCCCAGCAGATTCTCTGCCATTTTCCAAGAGGGTTACAAGCACCTCTAATCTTCCATATGCACCTAAACGGTTGTTCATATGATCAGCGTTTAGTTTACACTAGAAGTGGATTGGTCTCTCTAAGCGAGATCCCAATTTGTCTGTCATTACCGACGTGACGTCTCTGTTCCCTCCTTCAGGGAACGAGGGTTACATACGTAACCGAGACGTTATGCAGCTTAATCATGCTAAATCTAATTTAACACTAAAATAACTTTTAAACTTGCACATACAGTAAATGACAAGTAGAGCAATGAAAATAATTTACATATAGGAAAAACCTGTATGACTCTCTTCTGTAGAACACAAAAAGTGATTATTTTTAAAGATTTGTGAATGAATAAATCAAATGAATGAATCAGTTAATTGAGTTACAAAACTGGTTAATATTTGTTCAGATTCGGACTGATCAGCTTCTAATCACTTGCTCAAATCAATGATTAACAACTTTAGTCTGTTCGTGAGGTGAGTAAATGATGGCATCATTTTCAGTTTTGGGTGAACTATCCCTTTAATTCCAGTGATATCCAGTGACAAATCCTAATGCTATGGCATACAATGACATTCTAGAGAACCGTTTAGGATGCACTATATCCTGGTGAGCTGATACCTTCATGTTCCATTGTCTAAAAAGCCTACCCAGAAGAATGAAATTGTTATGGAAGACTAACCCCTTTTAACAAGGCTTTGAAAGTACTGGTGAACAAGCACATATGTGGCGCATTGGGGTATCCACATACTTTTGGTCACATAGTGGATAATATCATGATCACTTACACCTTGCTTTTTTTCATTTGTTTATGAATTTATGATGAAAAAATGAAAATTTGCTTAAAATGTACTGATGTGCCGTCAGAATGAGAGTCCAAACAGCTGATAAAACCACAAGAATCTAAAGTAATCCACATGACTCCAGTTCATCTCGTGAAGTGAAAAGCTGTGTGTTTGTAAAAAACAAGTACATCTAGGCATTTTAACTTGACTAGCTGGAAGCAATGGTTTAAAGTTCTACATCCAAATTATGGATTTGTTTCTCACAAATATGCCTTTTTTTTACTTGACAAGATGTTGATTGATGGACTGGAGTCGTGTGGATTCCTTGTGGATTATTGTGAGGTTTATATCAGCTGTTTGAACTCAATCACCGCAGGGGTGAACAAGTGATGTAATGCAAAATTTCTTCAAATCTGTTCAGATGATGAAACAAACTCATCTACATCACCTGAAGGTGAATACATTTTCAGCAAATTTTCAGTTTTGGGTGAACTATTAATTTAATGCCCATGGTTTTGTGCTTAGCACATATGAGCTAATATTTGGTCTGTTATTCTAAATATACTGTTTATATAATACTTCACAATGGTAAACACCAGTTTTCAGATAAACGCATATATTTGGGCACAGAAGAAGAATGGTTACATAATTCTCGAAAAGTGAAAAGGCAGTACAGATTTTGAGAACCTTAAAATATTTAGATGAATTACACAAAATACAAACACACATAAAATGTAAAAAGTCACAAAGTCCTCTGATAAAGGAAAGCAGATTTTAAACAAACAAGGTGCCAAGTTGCAAAGGCCAGGTAAACATTTACAAAGGCATTAGAATGTCAAAATGTGTACATCAATCTTTTCTTGAAGAGCTGATAATGTCTTAAAATCTTCTTATTTCCTGTTTTATTTGAAGTTTGACAATATATTACATTTACATTACATACTTTAACAGTCCACTTCTCTGAAAAGTGTGTAAACTCCTCTCTTTGCCAGCTTAGTAAAAGTCTATAGCATTTCTCTTCAACCGCCCATTTTTTGCTCATTTTCTCTTCCACTGGACGTGGAAGAGTCACTTAAGTCACTGAACGTCCCAGATCTCACAGAGGAGGGGGGTGAACTTGTGGTCGCTCATGCGCCATGACTCCAGCATTTCTGCGTGATGGTGGTTGAGGGTACGAAGCTCAGTCAGACGACCGAGAAGCCGTGCGAAGTGCTGGGGCTCGTGGGGGTGCTGTAGTTTACAGACCTTCCTCAGCACCTCCAACATGGGCTCCTGCAGACGCTCCACTGCCTGCTGGTCCTTTACGTATGGTCTGTCTACAGATAGATAGAACAATTTCAGTCATATGAAACAAATTCATTTCACTGTGGCCTTCTGAAGCATAAAACAATGACAAAAATGTGCTTTTCTATTGTGACCCTATTAATCATTAACCATTGAACTTATTGGAACAGTACAAACTGATTACATAAGAACCAAACGTGGGTTTTAAATGGGTTAAAACATTTCCATCATATGATGCTAATGCATTTACATTGATGGTTACTTGGAACATGCCAGCCTTATAACTAATAGATTTTTAGGTAACACTTTAGAATAATGGTCCATTGTTAACAAGTAACTATGCAGGAAGTAATAGGTAGTACTACATTAACACTTAACTTAATACTATTAACTAATAGAGAAGCAAGATTAACTAAGCAGTAAGTAGTAGCAAATTTAGGACAAAGGTAGTTCCTTATTAGATATTTGATAATTACTAAATAAAAATATCCTCATTGAGAACTACTTGTGAACTATGACCAGAATTTATGAAGAATAACCAATCAATTACTAATCACAACAGTAACATCTTAAAAGTGAACAATTGGGTTCTTTGTGGAAACTAATTTATGAATTTGATATCCCCCAAAAAACATTTTAAAATTGTGACTACTACTCTTACCAAAGGATGGATGTTCAAACTTAAACATAGAATAATAATAAAAATGAAAATTCACTTAAAAATGTTAATAATTAAGAAGTGATGCTGACAAGCTCATGATTGAATTAGTTCACAATTATGAGCTCTAGTTTGTGTCAGTTCAGTATGTCTCCAACTCCAAAAGACCTGTACCTTTAGTGACAGTAGGCTGGGGAGCACTTTAGCTTTAAAGTGAAAAATACATTAGCCTCTCACTAATTACTCAAGCGTTACCTTGTCAGCCAGGAACTACTAGTGATCTGGACCATTATTTTAAAGTGAAAAACACCTTAACTCAGTAATTACTAGTAATTTAATCAGTTATTTAGCATATTTTATATCTGACACATACATTTGTGTGAGGCACTAGTGATATTTTACCAGACACTGTAATCTGGAATATGCAGTTTTGTGCTTAACACAAAATATAAATGCAGTCGATGCCTTCATTAAGGATGTGAATTGTTTTTGTCAAGAGAACATCATTATTTATATTCAAGAAAAGTCCTCCCCAGCCTATTGTCACTAAAGGTATAGGTCTTTTGGAGTCGGAGACATACTGAACTGACACAAACTAGAGCTCATAATTGTGAACTAATTCAATCACTTCCTAATTATTAAAATTTTTAAATGAATTATTTGTATGATTATTTTATGTTTTTGTTTGAAATAAAAAGAGAACATCCATCCTTAGGTAAGAGTAGTAGTCACAATTTCAACCTGTAGCCGACTTATTTGGGGGATATCATAAATTAGTTTCCACAAAGAACCCAATTGTTCACTTTTAAGATGTTACTGTTGTGATTAGTAATTAATTGGCTAGTCTTTATTAACTGGTCATAGTTCGCAAGTAGTTCTCAATAAGGATATATATTTTTTAGTAATTATCAAATATCTAATAAGTTACTACCTTTGTCCTAAATTTGCTACTACTTGCTGCTTAGTTAATCTTGCTTCTCTATTAGTTAATAGTATTAAGTTAAGTGTTAATGTAGTACTACCTATTATTTCCTGCATAGTTACTTGTTAACAACGGACCATTATTCTAAAGTGTTACCAATTTTTATAATGTTACAGAAGATTTCTATTTTAATAGAATGCTGTTCTTTTAAATTTCCTATTTATCTACAAAAATATTAAGAAGCACAACTGTTTCCAACATTGTAATAATAAGAAATGTTTTTGAGCACCAAATCAGCACTAAACTTTGGCAACACAAGAACACTGTTTTTAACAACCCTAACCCTAACTGAACTAACATTGCATTCTGAAATGTATTATTTAAAGCATTAAGTGACTGATATCAGCTGACCTGGTGAGAGGATTGTGATAGCAGTAAGAAGAGCATGTTCCTCTAGCATCATCTGCAGCTCCCCGATGCTTTTATAGAAGTTAAACATGGGTGTGATAAACTCTTCAGATATGCCTATGGAGGAAATAAAGATATTTATGAAGATATACACTTTTTTGTCTTTTATAAATCACTCTATTATTGAATATCTAGTACTGACAACATAAAAACGACAGTCATTTACAACCTCAGTCACTTGTAAACACTCAAAAACATATTTCTTTGAAGCTAATCAACCAAGGCACATATTTACATGCCAACTATGATTTAAAATTAAATGAAGGTCATGCCTTCTTTACTGGACTAAAGATCACATTAGTACACACTACACTCAGCTGTGGCTCTGTGATCTTACCCCCATAAATTCTGTATTTGTTTGAGCTTCAGTAGATAAATCTAATAGGACACATTTTCAGTATTCAGTAGTGAAACTGTCTTTGTTGAATGTACAAGTGAATAAGGTTTTATAAATGGCCTGTTTTATTCTGAGGCCTCAGGGTGGCAGTGTTACCTACATTTAAAAGTATGGATTTACTACAGTTTAGAAAGAATCCATCCATCAATAATATAAAATGTAGGCCTATTACATTTCATCTTATGCTCTTTGTAATATACATTTTCTTGTTGTCTCTGAAAAAAATATTGAAACTTATTTAAAACTAGATAAACGTAGCCTTTTAAGACTTTTTTCCAAAGATTATATCTTGAATTTGCCAGTGAGGTAAGAAAATTAATTTAAAATACACTCTTAAAAAGAACTATTCATATCTTGTGCAAGTAAATTGATCTTGTTTAAGGAAAATGTATATATTCTGACTAGACAACAATGAGAAATGATACAAAATATATCTTAAGAAGATCATTTTTGCAGTGTATTCACTGTCTGCTTTGGAAGAGACTTTCTGAAACTCCCTCAGTGTGCAATGGCAGATCATCAGGGGTCGTGACCTTATTGCTTTCTATTGTCTGTTAGGTCAGAGCTGATCTCTACAGTAAATCACAGTTTCCTCTTAGAAAGAATCCATCCATCAATAATATAAAATGTAGGCCTATTACATTTCATCTTATGCTCTTTGTAATCTACTTTTTTCTTGTTGTCTCAGAAAAAAATATTGAAACTTATTTAAAACTAGATAAACGTAGCCTTTTAAGACTTTTTTCCAAAGATTATATCTTGAATTTGCCAGTGAGGTAAGAAAATTAATTAATTTAAAATACACTCTTAAAAAGAACTATTCATATCTTGTGCAAGTAAATTGATCTTGTTTAAGGAAAATGTATATATTCTGACTAGACAAAAATGAGAAATGATACAAAATATATCTTAAGAAGATCATTTTTGCAGTGTATTCACTGTCTGCTTTGGAAGAGACTTTCTGAAACTCCCTCAGTGTGCAATGGCAGATCATCAGGGGTCGTGACCTTATTGCTTTCTATTGTCTGTTAGGTCAGAGCTGATCTGAATCCGGCCTCGGATCCCCACAGCTGTGCGTTTCCACATTCAGTGGGATTCTCAGTAACAGCAGTTCATTTGAAGCCTGTCTTTGAAGGGCTTTCCTGTTTTGTGCGAGGTCTTTGTCTTTATCATTATCATTGATATAATTATCATACTTCACTGGCTATGTGAGCCGAGCGCTCTTTTCTGATGTAAAGCATTCAGTGTGAAGAGCCATAAGGGTTTAGTTTACAGACCGACCAATCAGGGAATCCCTCGGTGGGAGCTGCCACACTGAAGACAGCTGGGACATTAAAGGGGTCATATGATGTGATTTCTATTTTTCCTTTTCTTTAGTGTAATGTAGCTATTTGTGCATGTATAAGATCTGCAGAGTTACAAAGCTCAAAGTCTCTTACAAAAGGATTTATTATCTAAAAGAGAAGGCTGATCCAGACCGGGCTAAAACGCCTCATTCAAACACGCCCCCACATCTCTTCGTCACGATGTGGAAATATTTGCATAATGCCGCCCAAATGTTCATGCAAAGAAAGAAGGCGTGGTTTCAGGAACCGCAGTAGTGTTGATGCAGCCATGTCAGGGAGACGCTGTGTTTCTGTGCGAAAGCAAAAGACTTTTATTTGGCCTTCCGAAAGTAGATGCAATGAGGAATCATTGGTTAAGATTTATTTACAACAGAACAGCACAAACCAGATGTTCGAATTTGTGCAACGCATTTTATGGATGACACTTTTATGAACCTAGGAGAGTAGCCTACAAGGCTGGCTGTGCAAACTAAGGCTATTTCTAAAAAAATGGGTCAATTCTGACTTTGCTATGACAATCTGGTGCTTATTCTGAATCAGCGACTGTAAGTATGTTTTCTTAATAGTTTAAGTATTTGCTATTTACTGTTCAAATGCGGAGTTTTGCGCCGTGTAGAGTATCGCGTCGTGTGTGTGTGTGCATGCGTGAGAGAGACAGGGTCACATCACAGTGGAGTCAACTTTCTTAATTGCGGCTTGTGTACTGCAAATACATACGAGCATCATCACTGTGTCTGTCAGTGACTCTGTTCCCTTTTCGGGCTTGAACTGATGGTAAAACTAACGACATTATTTACTGTCTTTACATTTATGTTGAAAGCTGTAGCTCGCGATTATGGAAAGGGGCGTTACATTTCCGACACGTGCTTGTGGTGTTCGGCCAATCACAATGCACTGGGCCAGCTGGCCAATCAGAGCAGACTGTGCTTGTTGGAAGGAGGGGCTTTGTACAAAACAAATCGTTTGAGAGAGGCGGGGCATAAAGGAACTACAATAATGTACAGTATTTGAAAAATTATGTGTTTTTTGAACATTAAACCATGTCAACATATTCTGTTACACCAAATACACAAAATAATGATCTTTAAAATAGCAAACATGACTTAATTAAGCTTACCAAAATGTTCATATTAAATAAAAACAGTGCTGGGGTGTAACAAACTCTTCAAAAATTCAGTACATACAAACAGTCACCACCCCCCAAGAGATGAATTGATCGCAGCACGCAGACTCCTTTCACAGTTTCATTAATTTCCCTTCAGATGAAAGGATAACCTTTGTCATAACTTTCCCCAAAAAATGAGGGAGCAAAAAAAAAACCTGAAGCATCACGAAGGCTTCACGCCAGAGAAATGTCAGAGGCGCTGAGAGCCAGCGAGTGGGACAATAGGCCTCTCGATGTTTAGATAGAGAACAATAGTCTCTTTAGACAGTGCGTCTATTTCCTCCCCGCTAGCCTTTTGCGTGAATATTCCTGAGCCTGTGTTGCAGGGAAAAAGAGTGATGGATTCAAACAGTCGATGCCACTCTGCATTCATCTGCCTGTTTAGAAATATTACCATCTGGACGTCCATCACGGCTTTTCAAATATTGAGAGGCTGAAAGCAACTATCTTTGAAATAAAGGTGATTCAGTGTGCAATGGTGGAGGGCTTAAGATGCTTTTAAGAGACTGATATTGATCATGCATCCTTCTTTAACCACAGCTCTTCTACAAAATCTGATTACATGTTATAAGGCATATGATATTGACTAGCTACAGTGGGGAAAAAAGTATTTAGTCAGCCACCAATTGTGCAAGTTCTCCCACTTAAAAAGATGAGAGAGGCCTGTAATTTTCATCATAGGTATACCTCAACTATGAGAGACAAAATGAGAAAAAAAAATCCAGAAAATCACATTGTAGGATTTTTAAAGAATTTATTTGCAAATTATGGTGGAAAATAAGTATTGGGTCAATAACAAAATTTAATCTCAATACTTTGTTATATACCCTTTGGTGGCAATGACAGAGGTCAAACGTTTTCTGTAAGTCTTCACAAATGTATATGAGGGCTTTCCTCTTTGTGCTGTCTTGGCAGCCATCCAGTGCTTAGACTTCTGTGAAACCGAAACCATTTGGACTTTAGTGTCCTTTTACACATGTAATGTACACCATGGGATTATCAAGATGGCAAATTTCCTGTCGTTATATAGGGTGGACAGATACGTTATTAATGTAACGTGCCTAGTGAACTTTATGGACTTTGTTCTGGGGCTCAACAAATACGTAGCATACTAGTTTGATGAGTCATGATTCCTTTGAACGCTCCATAAAAGCCATGAATCATGCTATAAATTATGCTGCAATCCAAATAATGAGCTCACCACTCCTTCTGATCCTGTCCTCTAGTACCTCTGTGTGTCCGTTGGGCAGTTTCTTGGAGAAAACCTGGGCTGAGCGCAGGAACATTGCTTCTACAGCGGAACCTTTTAATAAAGCGATCTGATCTTCATGATCCAGAGATTGAAAACCTGCTCAGAAAACAAGAACGCGACAAATATGTTTGCTTAAAACTGCCGGAGTTATTGCATCCTCCTCATAGGACATTGCTGTCATATAAAGTGTTTTCTTGAACTATGTGAATTTATTTAATTTTCATACAAGTGGTATAGATCCTGCAAGCGAAATAGCTGTTGCAGAATTTGAAAAACAGTACCTGGTATATTTTTAGTGAACTCAACCAGCACTTGAACATGACTAGTTGCCATTTCGGTCAGTAGAAGGAAGTTTTCTTCTGCGTTAAATTGCTCTTGTAGCTGTGGACAGGTTGGAAGGAGGAAAAAAGCATGCAAATAAGCCACTGTTTTACGACATTGGGGTGGTGATAACCTTGGTTACATAATGATTTAACAGTGATAAGAACAGGCAATGCTGTTTACTGATTTTAACAGTAGCATTTGGCTGCTTTGTGCATTAAAAAATCGTAAAAAGATTTAAAGACTTAAAAAGCTGATCTAAAATGAGATAAATTGTTAGGGTTGTTTTTTGATTTTCGAGAAGACATACCAGTTTTTTCGCCATATCCTGAGGGATGCGATGTTTGTTGTGAGCATCAACTATATAACTTATTAAAGCCTGTTGGTCTTGGCTCAGTTCTATATTCTCCTGAAATGAGAAAATGTGCCAAAATTCCTGTTTATAAATTTGGATCATGGAGAATCCAGCTATGTGAAATAATAATTAAAGATTGGTGGTGTCGTTTTTTAATAACTAGCCAACGTTTGATCCTGCACAGCCATTTTACAACCCTTGATCATAATATAATCTTTCAGAAGTAACCGTATATGTGAGCAAAAGTGAGAAGAATGATGGTGAAGAGGATCATTGAGGTTGCCCTTTAACCTTTTATAGCACTTCAATAAAGTTGCCATAGAACACCCTTAGTTTGCAATTATACTTGAAAAGTTATATTGTAACAAGCATGGCACCAAGTAAACTGTATCTCAAATACTTAAAGTTGCACAAATCAAAAAGACAAGTATTTTCACCATGGATTATAATAATAACCCAATCAGACAGCACCTGTGTTCTTACCTTGAAGGGTTTAGTGGTAGATACAATTTGTTTAGCATCTCTACTATCACCAACATCATCCCCTATACTTTCGTCAGATGAGGCTTTTGTGTTTTTCCTCAGCCTTTTGGATTTGCACTGGATTTCAGTTAATAAGCCTGAGGATGCAAAAACAAAATAGATACAGAAACTAGATACAGATTGGTAAGATTGACAGTTTACAAGCAAACAGTTTTTCATCAAGTAAAAAAACTTGGAAACAAATTTTTAAAATATATATTTTATCTGTTTCATTCCTCAACAATACTTATGTAAAAAACAATACACTATACATGAGCTACAGAAGCTTAGAAAATACAACTTCCACAAACTAATATTTTATCTCAAGTAAATCAATATTATTTGAACCCAAACCATCTCATATAATTTGTTGCCCAAATAGAACATTGTACCTCTGTAGATACATTCTCTTATTAATCTCCAGTTAATAACTTTTATTAAAAACTGCTGTTCAAGAGTTTCTGATCTGACTTATCTGATTGCACAATGTGCGTGACTCTCGGGCTGATATATTAGTTGAGCAGGAACCCATTTTATAATGTTTACAGTGCTCTTACTCACATTCTGCCAGCATGCCCATCTCTTTGCACTTTCTGAGTCGACACTCTTGGCATTTCCTGCGCATGTACATGTCCATCTCACAGTTTCCTCCACTCTTACATTTGTATACAGCCTTCTTTGTAATACTCCTTCTGAAGAAACCTGGACGAAATAGCACAGCATGTTCAATATGCCACACATTTCACGTATAGTATACTGTAATATTGGGAATCAGGATCCAGATGTTTCATAGACCATCATGTAGTGACTCAACACAGAAAAAACTGAGAAAGCTAAATGTTACAAAACATCGAAATATATTAATATTACCATGAACTGTAAAGCCCAAACAATATGCAGTTCTAAAATAGGCTACATAGAAAAATGTTGGTTTCTAAATGTCTCTTGAATTTTAGTAGTTTCATGCATTTGTCTGGGTTTTTTCACCTTTTTGCATTTTTCATGGTTTTACAAGGACAGAAATTGCATTTAATTCTTGACATTTAGCTTTTTTAGCATTTACCATTGCACCTCTATCAACAGACCCAAATTAAAATTTTGTGTCATAAATGAATTCCCTGAGATCCACTGTTTTGGTAAAAAAGTAATCTTTCCCGCTATCATATTATCAGTTGTTTTTACACTTCGACACAGTGGATGACAGATCAGATGGCAAGAATAGACGTACAAAAGCATTCAGGAGCAGATTACATTGCTTCAAATTTAAAGTGCCTTATTTGCATTACTCACTTTTGTATGTATTGCCAAAGCATTACAGGGATTATAGGAATCTAACTATTCTCTAATTTTGAAAACCATAATAAAACATTAGAAGCAACAGTTGGCTACCGTATAAGTCTAAGCTATTAGGAGAAACAAGAAGGCCACTTTGTAAACACAGATCAAGGAATAGGTTCATTGCAGCCCATGTAAGGTATGGTGTAATGTTTAAGACATTACGTTCAGAACTGTAATACAGATACTCTTGGATGCTCGATTTTCAGTTCTAGGCAGCAGACAAACATGTGCAGTTGTTTTTGGAACAGGTAATTATTCCAGCATGAGCCCATGAGCACAATGACACACATTAACTTTACATGGTGGCATGTGGCTCTGGTTGCCTACATCATTATTCAGCAGAAAGCTGAGAGGGAATCCAATCCAAACTGAACGTGAAGGAGCACCAAACCCAGCCAAGTGGGACTTGGAACACATAGCCCTGAATCTGCCCTTTGGGCATTGTCCATGCACAGGTGGAATTACACTTGCAGTCATTCAGCCAATGATTTTCCAAAGAGCTAAATTTGGCGCATGGGGTTCCATGTCAATTATTACGTCCTTCATGAGCTATGTAGCCAATGGATACAATATACAGTATCTATGAAGGTTCCAGGGTGAACAACGAGGTCACAGAACAAAGGTGCAACTGTACATTGTTACAGTATATATCAAATAAATATATTAAATGCAAAGCTATATTTGGAATTTAAAGTTAAATGTGCAATTTCTTGGCCTCTATCAACAAATAGCCCTGAATTCATTCCATTGTTTGAGCCAATGTTTTTGAAAAATTACATTGCCAAATTATGAGAATAATTAATACAAAAATGAATGTACAACAATTCTTGCAAAAAATTTAAATGACTTTTAATGCCATATTAGAGGCATCATAATAACACAGTTCAACATTTAATTTATTTATTTTTTAGAAATGAAATATTACTGATAAAAAAACTCTTTAACTACATGTTGTTACATAAACAACCTGTCAGTAACTATACTGATCTCACATATATACAGTAGTCAACATTTGAAGTGGATCAAAAAAGTTCATCAAAGTTGTCCTAAGACAAGAAAGTTTTTAGGTTTTAGGAGAACTTTGATGAAAGGTTTTGATCCACTTCAAATGTTGACTACTGAAGTTGTAAGCTATATGTGTTTGATTCACTAAAAAGAACTGACTCATTAGAGAAATTTGTTTGGGAATCAGACTATACTGGTTATGCTGTATATTTCTGATTTACTAAAAAGAGCTGACTCATTAGAGTCAATCATTTGGGAATTGGGCTACACTGGTCGCACTGCATGGATTTGATTCTCTACAAAGAACCAGCATATAAGATTCATTTGTTCAGGAATTGGACTACACTGGTCACACTGTATGTTTTTGGTGTATGGATTTGATTTACCAGTAGAATCAGATAATAAGATTCAGTCGTTCAGGAATTGGACTGCACACACTGTCTGCTTCACATTGTTGATTCTGTGGTGCTGGAATCACTGACAAGAGTATTTTAGTATGTGGTTCCGAAATGTGTGAAAACTTTCAATCCTGATATTTTTTTTTATAGAATTGATTCTGAATAAGAACCGGGTCTTGGTTTCCAACTTTATGAAAACCTTGTTCAGAAATACATGTTTTGTGACTGAAAACGTCAGCAAAAATACTGTAAATTATGGCATTCACCTTTACATCCTTCACATGTGAGTGCATTGTAGTGATACCCTGATGCTTTATCTCCACAGACCACACACAGTTCCTCGCCTTTGCTCCTTCCGGAGTGGGCTGCGTGTCTGGATCTTTTACACACAGTCGGGACAACAGGGCAAGACTCGTCCAGCTCATTATCAAAGCCTCCCTCCAACGGTCCTTTCCTCATCTCAAACACGGTGGATGGAGAGTACCACTCCTCCCCACAGTACTGTGGGTAGCAGTGCTGACTGGAGTAGTATGATGGTGATGACATGGAGGGCTCCACCGAGGTGTACTGCATGCTGGGATAGCTGGTGAAGGGCATGACCTCCTGGTCCTGTAGCAATGGACTGTTCTGCTCTGCCAGAATATCTGAGAAGAAGATGGCAGGAGTGAGCAGAGCTTGTCAGTTTACATGTGTCATGGAGATACAAAGCTCAAGTTCACCTGACTGTTAGCCCAGCACGGAGTGCTAATAGGTCTTACGCCAACACGACGATTAGTGAAGCTACAGCACGCTGAGGTACAGTTTCCTTGCAGACACCATCAGAGTCATTAAGATCTCCACTACCTCATAAGTGCATATTAAAAACCATCTAGGAACATAATCAGCCTCTATCCAACTAGTAGCAGTAGATTGAGTGAAATGTACATAATACAGAAGTCAAACACACCCAGACATAAAACAAGCAATCATTAACCAAAGTGGATTTACTCTGGATTTACACAATATTACTGTCTAAGTGAGTTTCAGTAGATTTTTATGATCATTTTTGATTACACAAACACACACACACACACACACACACACATATATATATATTATTTATATATATATATATTTTTTCTTAAATATAAATTAAGTGTTGAGTGCACTTTTAATTTTCTAAATGCATCTTATATGTCTTACTGTGAATGATTCATCCATACGTGTTTCTTTTCTTTATTTCTCTGTGGTGACGTTTAATTAAGAGCTTGTTGTTATGTAAGCCCCACCCCTTTCTTACAATTCAGATCTGCTTCCATTCCATCAACAACCGATGAATCTGTCACTATTTCAATAGTTGACCTAAAAGAGAAAACTGACTATAAAAGAAGACTGTTTACAGCACCCCTTGTGGCAACACTGAGAACTTTACATGCACTTTCTGTTACGTATTGCGTTATAAACTACGGCCTGAACTATTTCAGAACACGATGCTAGAAATAAAGTTAGAATACCTAAAAGTGTTATATATTTGCATATTTCGAGCTAAACTCCATCAGGTCATCAGCTATTTTTCGATGTTTGTGGTTATTATTAACATATGTAGTCCACTAACAATGACAACTTTTTCGGAACTGTGAAAGACTCAATAATTTTAAAGTAAACAAGACATCTAAAACTTTTGTACTATGTCTACACTACATTTTCGTCAACAACAAAAAATATGACAACTGCTTCAGTATCATGAGATGGCACTGACCTGAAGCCTTATCCTGAACCATGGCCATTTCAGTGCGACCCAGTAAGGGTACAGATTACCCGTATTGATTCCTAACCATCCAACTGTTCCTTTAACTCCTCAGCATATGTCTATGTGTCCCATTTCACAAAGTATTACTGTTCCTGAACACGTTCATACTTCATACATAAGTGCTAGTGTGAACAAAGGTTGCTATAGTTGCTCATTAACCTGACAGTCACAATTCCCTGTCTCATTACATGTAGGATTGATCTGGATTTATAAATGTCATCTATGACAAAACATGCTCACTCGTGTTTGTAAAATTGAAGGTGACTTTCACTTTTTGGCTTCTGCTAATAACAGAAATTTGCTCCAGTTTGTTTCATAGAGTCTGACTCATAGTTTTATTTCATCATCCACCATGGCAAAGATAGCATTAGCATAACATAGGAAAGAAATTAATGTGAATTTCCAATATACTCACCAAAAAAGTGTGAGCTCTCTGATAGGGGGAATGCATCACTGGGTGGGATCTGTAAAGGTCCCACCACATTGACGTCATGGCCCACCCACTCATTCATTCAGAAGCCTGTGTGTTAAGTCTTGGCATCCAAAGATCCCTCAGTCCAGGATGGAAGTGAATGATGGGGTTAATCTGGTTTCTTCAAGACAGTAACAAATGGAGGAAGTGGTTGCTTTACTTACAAATGGAGGCAGTTTTTATTGCAAATTAAGGTATTGACGCTATATAGTAAAACACGTCACTTAAATTGATTTAGATAGTGCTTCTAAAAGAAAAAAAAAATCACTGATTGAAGTTAACTTGCAAAGTTTTATACTACATCATTCAGATTTCATTTAGATTTCCTTGAGATTAGGAGGACAAGGTCCTGAAGTCATATCAGAAATCTAGAACATAGTATTCTAACAAATGATTGTTTTTTCAACTGGAAATGCTACAGTTGATTGCAGTGACCTTTGCTCCAGTTTCAACTCTGGACTGTACAGTCTGGCACTGGATTTTATAATATCTGCTTTTTCCATGTTTCTTAATGCTAAACTACCTACCTTCTTATTTTGGATTATTCAAAATATTATGGTATCATTCCACAGTATTTCAGCTCAGATTAATTTTTCTTTAAGGCCAGGGGCCTGATGTATAAACGTTGCGTACGCACAAAATGGGCATGGAAATGTGCGTACGCAATTTTCCACGCACAAATTGAGATTTATAAAAATAAACTAGGCGTAAATATGTGCGCACCGTATGGACACTCTAGACCAGGGATCCTCAAATCTGGCCCACGAGATCCACTTTCCTGCAGAGTTTAGCTCTAACCCTAATCAAACACACCTGAGCAAGCTAATCAATGTCTTCAGGATCATTAGAAAATCACAGGTAGGTGAGTTTGATCAGGGTTGGAGCTAAACTCTGCAGCGCATTGGCCCTCCAGGGCAAGATTTGAGGAACCCTGCTCTAGACCATGAGTACGCACTCTTTTACTGGAGGGAGCGAAATAAGGAAGCAAACTAAATGATTTTAAAGTCTGTTTAACATTTGACATACACGTTTAGATTAAATATGACACTCTGAATAATGAAGTTAAGCACTGAAATTTAATGAAATTATTATCCAGAAATTACTAAATTTTCATATGAATTTAAACAGAAATATTTGCAGTGGATGTGCTGCTTTCGAACAATTTTCCTGTGGTATCGATTTAATGTTTTAATCACAGCGAGGATTGCTTGGTGCATGACAATTCCACTTTAAATTGTGTTCTAGCAAAACAATAATAATGATCATTTTTGTGAACTTGACTGTTTGCTGGCTTTGGAATATAGACGGTAACGACAGACATGAACCCTGCTCTAGACCATGAGTACGCACTCTTTTACTGGAGGGAGTGAAATAAGGAAGCAAACTAAATGATTTTAAAGTCTGTTTAACATTTGACATACACGTTTTGATTAAATATGACACTCTGAATAATGAAGTTAAGCACTGAAATTTAATGAAATTATTATCCAGAAATTACTAAATTTTCATATGAATTTAAACAGAAATATTTGCAGTGGATGTGCTGCTTTCGAACAATTTTCCTGTGGTATCGATTTAATGTTTTAATCACAGCGAGGATTGCTTGGCGCATGACAATTCCACTTTAAATTGTGTTCTAGCAAAACAATAATAATGATCATTTTTGTGAACTTGACTGTTTGCTGGCTTTGGAATATAGACGGTAACGACAGACATAAGGATGTGCTCGTTGATCAAACAGTCAACATTGGCTGGTTTGAACAGGTCTGATGAGTGACAGTACTTTAGAACAGTGGTTCCCAACCCTGGTCCTGGAGGCACCTCAACACTGCACATTTTGCATGTCTCTTTTCTCTGACACAAGGAATAATTTCAAACCTTGGAGTCTCTACTAATGAGCTGATGACCTGAATCAGGTGTGTTTGATTAAGGAGACATGCAAAACATGCAGTGTTGGGGTGCCTCCAGGACCAGGGTTGGGAACCACTGCTCTAGAACCTCTGTTCACAGGTGTCGCGCACAGACAGTATCCTAATGGTAACCCCTTTTGTGCTCTTTCCAATATTGTGACAAACACCATATTTAAAAGATAGAATTTGAAGGAAACTGTAAGATATGCACGTTTTATTTTCAAAATGTTTTGTTATTGACGCGGCGAGTCAATCAGCTAGCCTATTTACACTGCAAAAAAATAAGGCCTATCTCTTTCCATAAAAATATAGGCTATAAACAATCTAAAATATATGTTTACCTTTTAGGCAAATTGCATAAATTAGAATAGTGATGTCTCAAAACGCATTTATAGTCCGTATCTCATATGTTTCTAACATTTTGTACCCTTAACTGCGTTAAACATGGTGTAACATGGATGGAATGTGCATGGAAATTATACGTAGCTGACGTTATGCATATTAAAACTAGGCGTTGTAAGCTCCATATATGGCTATTTTGGGGAGGAGACGGGGTGGAGATTCATGTACGCACAATCTTCCGCTGACTGGGTATTACAAACGGAATTTTGCGCAGGGTCTGGCGTTTACACATTTAGGATGAAATCTACGTAAAGTTTTATACATGAGGCCCCAGCACAAATTCCAAGTATGGGTCACCATACTTGGCCACATGTCACTTCACTTCACTTAATTCTAATTATATTTTTTGGGGGAAAAATAGAACTGGCAATCCTAACATATTTTGTACATAATTTTTTGACAAAAATATATTTTATTTCGATGAAATAAAATGAAATATAAATATTTAGATGCAAAACCTAAACAAAATGAAAATTACAAATGTTGCCTTGGTGACTAACATAAAAATGTTTTTTTTTTAATAAAATTACTATTTGGAAATAGTGGAAAAACTCAAACTAAAGTAACAACCTAATTAGTAGTAGTAAAACAATAAAAAAATTAAGTAATTAATATGAAAAATAAATAAAACTCAAAAGCAATTTGATTAAACTAACAATTAAACTAAATTTAAACTGAAATATATACAAATAAAAACTAAAGTAAATTCAATATATTAAGAAACTATGATAGTAAATGATACTAATAATAACAACTCTGCTTCATGATTTCTTTTCCTACTTGAAAGCAAATTAATAGTAACATTTAAAAAATGTAATGAAATTGAACATTGCATGTTTTATTTAAATTTTTACAGAACCCCTACCATATCTTTCTCTAAAACACACCCATCAGTCAGTCAGTCAGTCAGTCAATCAATCAGTAGCCTAGTTTTATTTTGTTGAAGCAATTAATACAATACACTATGAAAATGTTTTTCAAAGTTGTAAATAAAGATGTTTAGAGTATGTTTTACAAGTAAATACTATTTCTAAATATTTTCTGCTTCAAATTTTCATGTTAAATTCGATGTTGCTTGCTGTTTCTTTGTAATTATTTGTGAAATCTTACTTGCAATTTCTAAGTGTACACCATTTTTTTTCTAGTGTACAAATGCAGAGATGCATGATATAATGTGTTCTCTATGCCATAACATTTAGATGAGTCACACCCCACTCATGAGATGTAATTTGACCAAAACGTGATGAAGACCAGCGTCTCGCTATAATTGAAAATGTATCTAAAAACAAGCTCTTAATCATTTACCGGCTGTTGCTCCATCCACAGAGGGCCTTTCTGAGTCAACAGACAGCACTCTGAAATAAACAAAACCTTTGCCATAGGCCGGCGGCTGTTTGTGGAGGGTGGGGGAGGTATGGATGGCCTTGTGAGAAGGACACGTTCATGGCTCCATTAAAAAACTATTATCAAACACTTCAGCTATTTTCACACGACGCTACAGTATGGGCGTTTTTAACAGGACGTCCATCTTTTATTTATGAAATGTGAAAGATGTTTAATATCATAGTGAGGTGTCCATGACTTAATCTTTCTGTGTGGTTTGATAAACCCAAGCCAAAGCAAACTAAAATGTCTGAAATTCTAGAATGTTCTCTGAAACGTTCTGAGTAGTTACATGAAACATTGCATTTCAGAGAAGCATGGAGAGTAGCTATCACCCAAAGCCTCTTTTTGTTTGACATCTGGTAGTTAATCTCAAATAAAAAGTGCTTACCGTTTTAGAACCACACATCAAATCATAAAAGCTAGATGTAGAGATAAGACCATCAAACAGTAGTACAAACCGACGAGAGGCTTCATATCAGCATGTTAAACATGAGCAGTCAAGGACTGTGGCACAAAAAATGCCATTACACACCATAACAAGGTCCACAACCTTGAACTTCCCAAGATTTACCTAAAAAAGACCTGTTAACACGTAACACCCGGCCAACAAATCAAAAGATGGTGCACTGAATTCAAACATACATACGTTACTGGAACTAGAGATCCAAAAGGTCTGGAACTGTGAATGTGAAGGCTGAATAACAGCTTTATGCTTGATAATGATGGCACGGAAGTTGCACATTTTATGGTGGCACTAACATTAAATGTTTTCTGTAATGTTCTATTCTAAAATGGATAAAATATCATTTGCATTAAGAGGATCGTTAAATACTTGTATAAAACATGGCAACCCAACAGGGTCATTTAGTACAAGTAAAACTGCCAAAAGCAATTTTATTCCTTCAAATAAAGTGGAAATTAACAAATATACATTTTTTAATATAATGAATTATAATTTTTTAATGATAATTTAATAATTTAAATGAAAAACTTATACTTAACAAAAATGAGAAATATTGCCTTGCATGGCAACAAATTGAAATAACAATAAAAAATAAAACTAAAACTGAACTAAAACGTAAACAAAAAAATTAATTAAGCCTAAATAGTAATATTAAAAAAACGAATGATTAAAAAATAAAAATGTCAAGCACAAACAAATTACAAGACGTTACACTAAAAATAAAACCTAAAAGGAAAAATATAAAAATAAAAGCTAATTCAAAATATGAACAAAAACTAGTATATTAAAATAACTCCAGCCCATCAAGCGAGATCACACTCCTTAATTAGATAGATAGATAGATAGATAGATAGATAGATAGATAGATAGATAGATAGATAGATAGATAGATAGATAGATAGATAGATAGATAGATAGGCCTTGGGAGAAGGACACGTTCATGGCTCCATTAAAAAACTATTATCAAACACTTCAGCTATTTTCACACGACGCTACAGTATGGGCGTTTTTAACAGGACGTCCATCTTTTATTTATGAAATGTGAAAGATGTTTAATATCATAGTGAGGTGTCCATGACTTAATCTTTCTGTGTGGTTTGATAAACCCAAGCCAAAGCAAACTAAAATGTCTGAAATTCTAGAATGTTCTCTGAAACGTTCTGAGTAGTTACATGAAACATTGCATTTCAGAGAAGCATGGAGAGTAGCTATCACCCAAAGCCTCTTTTTGTTTGACATCTGGTAGTTAATCTCAAATAAAAAGTGCTTACCGTTTTAGAACCACACATCAAATCATAAAAGCTAGATGTAGAGATAAGACCATCAAACAGTAGTACAAACCGACGAGAGGCTTCATATCAGCATGTTAAACATGAGCAGTCAAGGACTGTGGCACAAAAAATGCCATTACACACCATAACAAGGTCCACAACCTTGAACTTTCCCAAGATTTACCTAAAAAAGACCTGTTAACACGTAACACCCGGCCAACAAATCAAAAGATGGTGCACTGAATTCAAACATACATACGTTACTGGAACTAGAGATCCAAAAGGTCTGGAACTGTGAATGTGAAGGCTGAATAACAGCTTTATGCTTGATAATGATGGCACGGAAGTTGCACATTTTATGGTGGCACTAACATTAAATGTTTTCTGTAATGTTCTATTCTAAAATGGATAAAATATCATTTGCATTAAGAGGATCGTTAAATACTTGTATAAAACATGGCAACCCAACAGGGTCATTTAGTACAAGTAAAACTGCCAAAAGCAATTTTATTCCTTCAAATAAAGTGGAAATTAACAAATATACATTTTTTAATATAATGAATTATAATTTTTTAATGATAATTTAATAATTTAAATGAAAAACTTATACTTAACAAAAATGAGAAATATTGCCTTGCATGGCAACAAATTGAAATAACAATAAAAAATAAAACTAAAACTGAACTAAAACGTAAACAAAAAAATTAATTAAGCCTAAATAGTAATATTAAAAAAACGAATGATTAAAAAATAAAAATGTCAAGCACAAACAAATTACAAGACGTTACACTAAAAATAAAACCTAAAAGGAAAAATATAAAAATAAAAGCTAATTCAAAATATGAACAAAAACTAGTATATTAAAATAACTCCAGCCCATCAAGCGAGATCACACTCCTTAATTAGATAGATAGATAGATAGATAGATAGATAGATAGATAGATAGATAGATAGATAGATAGATAGATAGATAGATAGATAGATAGATAGATAGATATAGAGAGATAGAGAGATAGAGAGATAGATAGTCACCAGTAAGGGTGCTGTAATTTTTTTAATACAATGTATGTATGTATGTATGTATAATTCTATGTATAATGTAATTCTATGTATAATGTATGATTACTGATTTTGAATTTTTTATTTTAATTGATTTCACTTTTTTATGTAAAACCATCCAGTTTTCTGTGATAAAGTGTGTGTGTGAGATAGAGAGATAGATAGTCACCAGTAAGGGTGCTGTAATTTTTTTAATACAATGTATGTATGTATGTATGTATGTATAATTCTATGTATAATGTAATTCTATGTATAATGTATGATTACTGATTTTGAATTTTTTATTTTAATTGATTTCACTTTTTTATGTAAAACCATCCAGTTTTCTGTGATAAAGTGTGTGTGTGTGTGTGTGTGTGTGTGTGTGTGTGTGTGTGTAAAATGTGAATGTCCCCCCCCAGTAGAGAGATATGTGTGTGTGTGTGTGTGTGTGTGTGTGTGTAAAATTTGAATGTCCTGCCCCAGTAAAGAGATTTAAAAAATCTGTAATTTTTGTTGCCAAGTAATCTGGGTGGCCAGACTAATTTGTTGTACACTGTAAAATGCTGCTGTGAACATAAGAATAGTGATAATGTGAAGGATGTTTACTCCCACATGACAGAAACCAGGAGAGTTCTGTCAGCTCCCAACAAAGACAAAGTGAGCCAATTTAAGCATCCCAGCATAAACATGCATCTATTCTCTCTGAGAAAGAACATGTCGTGAGTCTGAAGTCTCGGTTACGTCTACTTCGATTTCATTTGTTCCGCACTCAACTCATTAATAGTGTAAGAGGCTATTTTAAACAGAAGAGCAGCCGCTGCTGTAATCTAGTGTATGTGCCAAAGAGAATCAATTATGCATGCTATCTGAGCTATATTAAAACACTACTATGCCAGCAATATTTTTTATCACATATAATGTATAAGTAAAAGATCAATTGAAAGATTTTTTATTCTCCTCCAAATAAACATTTAAAGAGACATCAGTTACAGTGATGCAATGGTAAAGTGCACATTTCAAACAATCATCTTGACATCCATGTAAGCAATGAAATGTCTTTTTCAGCAGGTATTGTGCAAAATAAATAAATAAATAAATAAAATCAGGCACATTGTGGATTGTTTCTTTTTTTATATCCATATTAAATTTTTATAAGTACTAAAATGGTTCATTTCTACATATCAAAGCTCTTCCACCTACGCATATGTAAACGATAAATTGAACTATGAGTTATTAATGGTGGACATACTGCATTTTTCAAAGGCATTCCACTAAATACACATCCCTCTTCTGACCATTATTAACTTTTATGATAAAACAATATTTTCTGAGATGTGTTGAATTTAGCAAAGAGGTTTGTGGAGGCTGCACAACTACATGCAAGAAAAGCCATGGGGGCACAGAAAAATGTTTAACCTGTTTATGCACTATACACCTGCTTTCTTTGCATAGCTGACAACAATCAAAACATAAAATCAAAAAGAACTGATGCATATTCTTCTGTCAGCCTTATAGTGCAGTAGATATAAAAAGACTTTGGAACAAAATTATGATTTAAAATTGAGTTCAACAACTCAACTGTCTACCTACAGTTGTCAAATGAACTACTCACAGATCATTCTCATGTGACTGTTCCTTCAGCTTCTACAGCAGGGTGAAATCATAAAGGAAGCCATCCAAAATATTTCTTCACAACTCAAATATACTGCTGTGTCAAATGTCAGGTGGAATGTTGTATTCCCAGGGTGGGTTACTTAAATAAATACTCCTACGCCTCAGGTCTCAGGCTTGGGCGTTTGGTGACCAAAATGTCATTGATACTGATTCTGATATTCCCCATTTTCAGAATGATTTGATCCGTGATCTTCATCTGCTTGCATGGTCGTGCCTCTCTTCTTCTTCCAGCCTTGCTTGCGGCCTGCAGAGCTTTCTGTGGTTCCATAGGTCTTCTGCTTGGTGGCCAGGGCACTGTCACTGTTGTGCTCGGTCTCATCAGCCAGCTCATCTTCCCCGATGATGCCGCATTTCTCGTCACTGGTGTTCTCAGGATCGGCCCAGTCCTGCTTCTCACCAGAGGCAAAGATGGCATAGAAGAGCACGCCAGTGTAATGCACCATGGAAGCAATCACAAAGACATGCTGCCACTCCAGGCGAGTCTGTTGAGAATATAGAAATGTAATGAGGATATACAATACATTTGTGAAAAACAAAAATGCACATTGAATTTGCTTATTTATCATTCAAGGGTTAATTTAAAGTTAAGTGTCTTGTTCCAAAGCAAAAGAGGTGAGGGCAAACTTGTTAGCTTTATAGTTTATGAATCACCATTTCTGGGGTTTTAACCTACAACCTTCTGGTTACTTTCCTTTCTATATCTATATATCTATATATCTATATATATATCTATATATCTATATATCTATATATATATATATATATATATATATCTATATATATATATATATATATATATATATATATAAGAACTTCACTAAACTGTCCATAATTGAACTTAGCCAGCTGTTACCTTAAAGAGATATTTCTACATTATCTTACCCATAAAAAATTATTTTGTTGATCTATTTTGTTTTAATATATTATTGATTAAAAAATTATTTTATTTTTGATTATAAGTGAAACATTTTTACAATTTATCACTATAGATCTGTGGTTCTCAACTTTTTTGACTCAAAGATCCCTCATTGTTCTAAACAATATTCGAAGGCTCCGTGATATAGACTATTTACAGCATTAATTTTGAAATTTCAGAATTTTCAAGATCTTCCATTAAAAACCGTTGAAAAGTTAAAAACAGTTATTGAGTAGGGGGGAAAATAAATATTTTTAATTTATTTATTATATTATATTGTATTATGAAATAAGTTTAATTTGCATCTTTTATATATCATATTAATCATTTCAATATACATAATGATATGTAATGCATAATAATTTATTAATTTGAATACTTTTGGCCATCTTGAGGCCCCCTTAGAAGTGTGCTGAGGCCCCCTAGTTGAGCACCAATGCTATATATATTCATGTCATATTTTTGAATATCCAGGAATATTTACACACTTAAAAATTCCCCTTATCAAATATAAGGCAAATGACTTCATCATGAAAGAAGGAAGCTATTTCCGTGTGATTGTATCTCTTAGGTTAAAAAAATTCCTTGTGCATATAGTATTATGTTTTTCTATACACAAGCATAAGCAGATGAAGTTAACTACCTTGTGTTTGGTAAGTGCTCCGACAATGAGGGGGCACACCATTCCAGACAGGGTACCTACTCCATTAGAGATGCCCATAAGAATGCTGGCATAGCGAGGAGCTATGTCCAGATGGTTTACATTGAATCCTGTGTCAAAGAATAGAAATACATTTCACATATTTAGATCTTCTTCGGTGTAATTTTAGAAACTAATACTCCAGCTTCTAACATCAGGCACTTTCTACTTAGTTTTTTTATTACAACTGAGCAACCCACATTATTGAAACTGGAGATGTGGCATAAGCACAAAGAAAGGTTAGAATCAAACAAAGCCAAATGACAGAGGATTATGTTGACTGACACTCTGATGACTGACACCTGTCTCATGCATCACCTGATATCGCAAATCCACTGAAGCCCACTGCCAGGATGAGGAATGAGATGGCCACTGCACGTGTGTGTGAGAACCCAACCACCAGGAGCAACGTGGCCTCCATTCCAAAACCTGTGGATAATGGCAAAAGTTAGTCATCAGCTATCTTGCACACGACACAGCGTTCCAAAAAGACAAGTTCAACTTTAAAAATTCCTCTATAGACCTTTCGTTTTTTCCATTCCACTGCTCTGCGTATTGCATTTTTACAAAAATGTGTGAATGGCCCCTAAGGGTCACTCAACACTGTCTTTATAGTTATCTTTATTAATGTAAACAGGCCTTTAACTCAACCAACGGTGTGAGCTTGGGACTTTGCCTACCTCCACAGTTCATAATTTTGCGCACGGTTGTAGTAGAGAGGATTTTCCGACTCCTCAGGAAGTCAGCCAGCTGGCCTCCTATCGGCACAATGATCGTCATCACCAAGTGTGGCACCGCTGACAGAATGCCCACCTGAAACAGCCCAACATCATGTAGTTAGCCTATTTCTAGAGTGAATTGTGGTTGTTAAATTAACAGAGGATTCTGTAACTTTAAATCACATAACAGCCCACCTTGCTGATGGGGAACCCAAAGACCTCTTCAAAGTAAGCTGGCTGACTAATGAGCAGGAGGTAAAAGGTCCAGCTACGGCAGAAGTTTGCCACAATGATTGCGTAGACAGGCATAGATGTGAAGAATTCACGCCAAGGAGTTTTAAATTTCTGCAAAGAGAGAAAAAAAGCAGTTTTTACAAAAGTAGTTTAGGATATTACATTGTCATCTTAATATAAAATTGAATATATATATATATATATATATATAAAGTTTTACAGTTTATTATACCAAATGCATGAAAGAAGACTTTGGACTACCTCAGTAGAACTCATTAAATTGGCTCCTTCCCCAATAGAGGTCTCTATGTATGTCCTTTCTTCTTCACTGATAGTGGGATGGATTGCTGGACTGTCATAAGCCAGCAAGAGCCAGAAAATATACCATATTATGCCAAACACACCTGGATATAAGCACAGAACCACACTTTAACACTGCATCTCTGAAATTACAAATGAACACATTACAGTGGACATCAAGGGTTCACTAAATGCAGTATATTTAGTGACTCATAGATTTACTACTTTTTGCCATCTATTCACAGTAACTCACTCTGTATTTATATCATGTTACTGTTACTCTTAAAAGTAAATGTTCTTTATTGGCATCTGTGGTACCATAAAGATTATCCATCAAAACTTTTTTTAATTGAACTACATTTTCTTTATTAAAGGTTCTTTAGATTATTAAAATGTTTTTTTTTTTTAAAGAGAAGTTCTTTGAGGATTCCTAAATGGTTCTTTTATGGCATTTGTTGCAAACCCCCTTTAACCCTTATTAAATTCCATTCAGTTCCATTCTATTTAGTTGAATTAAGCTTGATTTGATTCAGTTCAGTTCAAAGTGATCCACTGGTATTTAATATGAATTAGTGCTGGGCATATTTGGAAATATTTTCAAAATATATACTGTATGTTTGTGTCTTTATATATACATAATAAATATACACGGTACACATATATTATGTAAACAAAAACATTTATTTTGGATGTGATTAATCGCGATTAATCATTGCCCAGCGCTAATATGAATGTAAATTATTTTGATTGATTAAAGTCTGACAGATGTGTCATAAAGTGCAAATCAGTTAATAAATGTCATCACTCAGATTTTCATTTTCAATGTCATTTTTTACCAAAACATTTCAAAAGGCTTACCCTAAACTCACCATATATATAGAAGACAGAGGGCCAGCCTACATACTGCACTAATATTCCAGCCAGTGGCATGGCTATCACAGCTCCTGCATAAGATCCTGTCAAGCAGAACACACACACACAAAGGCGTAATTAAGAAAGTTAAATTAAGAGAGAGGGCATTAATCAACCTGCAATCATCCCTTCACATGACAGTTCATTAATTTGAAGCCATTGCGGGGGTTGCCTCATAACTGCCAGAGGAAAACTGGCATGATTGGTTTGGTTCAGCTTTGAGAGAGCAGAATTTGTTTTGTTCATTTTAATGTAGTAACTTCTAAATTTACCTTCAGATTTTCATATATTTGGAGGACTTTTTTAAGGAATGGTTCATCCAAAAATGATGATTCTGTCATTACTCAAGTTGTCAAGCTATAAGAACTTTTTAAGCAATAAATGCCAATGCCAGGATTCAAGTCCTTCATCAAACTCTGCTCAGTTACATATGCAACAACTCCAGACCTCAGCGCAACACGTGCCTCTGCCTGAAGGACAGGCTGGCAGCTGCAGGAAATGGGATTTTAATAAAAAGGTGTCTTAATGTATATTTTATTGATGCACTTATAAACCTTCCTGCTTGGCGTAGGAAAGGATTCTCGTGTGAGCTTTTGAACACAGGAGAGGGTGCTGCTTCGTTTGTGTCAACATACAGAAGGTGAAGCTGTGTGCAGACCATCTTCATTTAGTGGTCATGTCAAGAGCTGTTTGGAGCACAGGTTGTCATGGCACCTGTTTGTTGTGAAAGACGGCTGTTTTAATGCATTTGAGGTGTAATGAGCATTGGAATATAGACCCAGAGTCGACTGGTCAGCTGGTCTGTGAGCATGATTTTTGAGCATCTGTCTTGAGTGTTTACTTCTCGTGCAGACGCAGATACAGACACATTTGTATAACAGGAACATTAAATTTGGTATTTAAAAAAGGCAGATAGTGATGAACATCAGAACAGTAAAACAGAGGAAACATTTGGACATTTTTCAGTCATTTTCTGCACGTTATATCCTGACACCAGAAGGTGTCCACATGTCTTTATGAGTGAGTCATTGAATCATTCATTCAAATGATTTATTAAAACATTGATAAATTCAATAAGTAAACAAATGAACAAGCTAAATTCGGAATCGCATTCTACTCTTACTATTCCTGCTATAGAAATACATCATAAAATGGTAAGAGCTAGTATGTGGTTGCGAATTCAGCAAGTGATTCTATGTGAGTAACTCATTGAATCATTCACTCAAACCATTCGTTCAAATATTGATTTATTCAAGAACAAAACACCTCGATGTGTTCTGTTACATTAAGTGTCTCCTGACAGTTTCAATAAAATATTCTCTCACAAACCTACTCACCACAGAACGAGGTAGTAGCCAGACGACTTCTTTCCAGTGGAGGAGCCCATTTGCTCCACATCCCATGGCAGGCTGGATATGTGACACCCTGTGAACATTATGCACGGTTAGTATGCTTTCTTTCTTTCTTTCTTTCTTTCTTTCTTTCATCAAAATGGGCAATTCTACTGACCGATTAATACTTAAAGGAAGAGTTCACCCATATAATGACGTCATGAATAATGAATCATGACTTAAATTTCAGTCGTCACTCAAAAACTATGTATGGCTTTAAACGATAGCCTAGTACAGAGGTTCTCAAACCTCTCCATGAAGAGACACACCCACTTCACATACAAAATGTGCAGGCCTAGTATATATTTCACGACTACTTTTATGGTGCTTTTAATAGTATTTGGAGGTTGAATATCAGCATTCACTTGAAAACAAAGATGGTGTAAACATTTTGTGTTCCAGAAATGAAGAAGTCATATGTGGATATTTGGAATGACATGAGGGTGAGTAAATATTGACAGAATTGTCATTTTTGAATGTATTACTGCTTTAAATACACTGATCAATAGCATACCATTTAAAATGAATATGTAATGTGTTTACATATGTTATGTTTACATATGTAACGCATACATGTCATGTGTAAATTAATAATAAAAAGTAAATATTTTATGACGTGTTTAAAGATGAGGTCACTGGGGGCCACTCACCTCCACCAGTCCTTGTAAGATTCGCACAAACATGACACAGCCATAGTGGGCCCTGGCAGCTGATGGAATAAACATGTTTAGCACTGACGTCAAGAAAATGGCTGCTCCAAACACCCTGAGAATAATTCAGAGATATTTAGTAATGTTAGTTAATGGATTCAGTCAAAATTAAGCCATATAAAAACATAATGTGGCCTTAAATAATGTAGATTTATATAAATAATGTTTTGTGGAAAAGCACACAGTGAGGAGGATAAGTACCTAATTCCATAATGTTATCTGAATAACTGAATTGAATAACTCTATCATCAGTCATGAAATTCTGAAAGACATTAATCATAAAATCTGTTTCTTCTTGACATCATATAAAGTGATGAGTTAGTGACACCTAGAGAGTAATTTTGTAACTTGATACTGTAATGAGGATTTCATATCACAAAATAATATCAAAATGCATTAGAAATGCACTGAATTTAGTTTGAAGCGCAAGTGCAACCATCATTGTCAATGAATATTAGAGTAATAATTTAATATTTTTAGTTTTAGTCTGGATCTTTATGTATTTCATTAAGACATGATCAAAGGAAAACATTTAAACTCTCTCTATATACTATATAGTTATAAAATAAAATATAAAAACTTTAAAAAGGCAACATTTATCAATTTCATTTAGTTTTACTTGATGTACTAAAATAACTAAAACAAAAATAAAAATGAATAAAAATTAGGTAGTCTATAAAAATGACTAAAACTAAAAAAACTAATAATAAAATATTAATAAAAGCTATAAAAGTATCTCAAAGATTCTAAAATAGCATTGGTACAGCTTTTAATTAGCATCTACAGGGGCCTGGGTTCAAACCCTGATCTATCATGTATATGCAGATTTGATTGGATATCCAACTTGATTGTACTGATCAAATTATGAAATTTTTACCTTCAAAATTTTGGCAAACTAATTACCAAAGACCTTTTTTTTCCCATTCAAAATCCACTTTGCAGAAAACCCATCCGTTTGAATAGGCATGATGCTAGCTGACGCATCATCACTGGATCAAACAGAAGAGAGTCATTTTGGTTCATTCAGTTGTCCTTTATCTCCATTTAATCCATCCATCGCTTTTTTTTTCCCAAAACAGTGTGTAAGTGACATTTGTAATATTCCAGTGGCTGGTGTTTCAGCAAGAGATCTACTGCTGGATCTTTCATTATTAACTCTGTCAGCCACATGTCCTCTTTTCCTGAGGCTTTTATTACAAGACCGCTATCGGCCCCTCTAATCAACACACAGCACAAATTTAACCCTCGCAGCCTTGACCACTGCACTCGTGTGGTCCCTTGGGTCTTCAGACACCTTTCAACACTGAATGTAATATGAGAGTTGTATTATGGAACAAACGTCTGCCTTCCAAACGTGGCGTGGAGGCCCGTGCGTCAAGATGAGGCTCACCTGTTAGCTGCTAGCTTATTGGAGATGAAACCTCCAGGGATTTGAGTGACAATGTAGCCCCAAAAAAAAGAGCCGTGTATCAATCCCACTGTCTCTGGATCCCAATTAAACTGAGCTGGCTGAAGAAGACAAGCATTAGAGGAGACCATGTTAGCTTTATATAATTAATACATTTAAAAAAAAAAAAGAATAGTAATAAAAAATACAAAAACCTTTTGTATGCACATTTCTGTGTATGATATAAAAATGAGTAATCGTAAGACATTCATAGTAAAATGACCTCTGTGTGTGTGTGTGAGTCATGTCTTCCTATTAAAATTTCTTATGATAGGAAATTACAGGAAATTGTGGCAGCCAACTACCTAAAAAGTTACTAATGAGAATTCAAGCCAGGAAAAAAAGATGATCGGTCCTTTGAACTTGATAGAGTTCAAAAAGTCAAACGGCCTATCTAGACCTTTTTTTTTTTAACAAAGACCCCTGAATATGATGTGTGTGTGTGTGTGTGTGTGTGTGTGTGTGTGTGTGTGTGTGTGGTTAGAAAATAGATACACTATATATAAGTTTTTATTTTTTGTTATTTATTACTGATAAAAGCAGAGTTGTCAATTTAATAACAATTTAATAAAAATAAAGATAAGATATAAGATAATGTTAAATTTGGTAAGTGTGGTAAAATTGTATTTACTTGCTTACTATGTACTTACTTACTCACCCTTATCTTATTCCATGACTTCCATTAACTTCCATAGTATTTTTTGTTCCATACTATGTAAATCAGTGGCTACCAGCAACAGTTTGGTTACCAACATTCTTCAAAATATATTTTTTTGTGTTCAACAGGACAAAGAAATTCATACATGTTTGGAACAAAATGAGGGTGAGTAAATGATGACAAAACTTTCATTTTTGGATGAACTATCCGTTTATCTAAAAGTTCCCTTGTTCTAACTTAAAGGTAATTTGGTATTTTCAGTTTATATGTTCCTAGTTTCACCTGCATGACTGCAGTCCCGTTGATGTAGACAGTGTTGTTGTTAACCATTTCTACAATGGCTACACCGAGGTTGCAGCGGATGCCAAACGAGATGCAAAAGCCAAGTCCGCTGAGGATGGCGATGATGTAACGTTTGGGGAGGCCAAAGCAGCCACAATCAAAAAAGGGTGGGCTGTGTTTAGGGGCCGCCACTGGCCGACCATCTTCTGTCAGCTCAATGTTGTCCTCTTCAGCCGCATTAGAACCATCGATCTTCCTACCGTAGGATATAAAATGGTTTAGAAATAGTCATGGCTTGCAGTAGACAAAAAGATAAAAAATGTAATTATATCACTCCATAATTGATGAATAAACCAAAACGGGTCCTCTTTTTGGATTGCAAATGTAGCTTTAGCTGATCAGATTCAACTCAGTGCTGTTCGAAAGTGATATACCCATATTTATGAGTGATGTACTGATGGACTGGGAGTTGGAGGGGGCCAGCAAAGGTTGCCAGAGTGTGGCGTTGAAAAGGTCACATTGCGTTTGGTGCTCCCTCCATCTCGCCCGCATGCACCTGTTCCATTACTGAACCTGCATCTTTCCTCTCATCCTCCACCTCACAGGAATTACTTTCATCTGTCTATTTTGAAATGCACACCTGAGTTCTTCTATACACAGAGGAAGGAGTTCACTAAAAGCTGGACACTGGAGGATTGTGAATGGAGGATCAAGAAGCATCATTTCAAGAGCCTGTTCCTGATGTTTGTGAAGCATTGTTATTGCACATAAGCCACTTTAAGGTGAAGTATTGCTCTGGTACACTCTCGAAATGGATCACATGCATTTATTTTTTTCTATTGTGAACAATACATACACGTATTCAGATCAGAATTGTTGCCATATGTTGTTTTGTTTTTCCATATCATATCTTTTGTTTTAAATGAATTCTAAACTCTCTAGATACTTCTTATCATTTTTATTTTAGTGACAGCATGAGACCGTATCGATTTTTTAAATTGTCATAAGATTCCATTTTTTTTAAAATAAAAGTCAAATATAATGACGTAGATGTGGAGAAAATTGGCCAGAAAAGGACAGTTATCACCTCTTAACAACATAACAGCTTTTACATTATAATCATCCAGCCAAGGCAATATATTATTCAATATACTTTACCACAAGTAAAGTAAAAATAAGAAGGGAAAAAAAGGAAAATATTTAGATGTCATTCTATCTGAGCATAGCATTGCATCTCAATTAAAGTCTGTGGCAAACAGCCAAAACCCTTACTAAATTTCAGTACATTTTCAAAAGCAGGTACTCTACTAGATATTGTTGTCATTGCTATTGTAATTAATTATATTAATAAAAAATATTTGTATATTTGTTGTTTTGGAAATGGCATTGCTCTTGAGCACTTATTATAATGCTCTACTTTGTCTTATTAATTAAATTATGGTGTATTTTATGCATGCTTAGTTTATACACAAATCTGCATGAAATTCTGCAAAATTAAGCAATTTTAAAAGTAGGGATTAAAATAAATATGCATGACTTTAGTGTGCACCCATATATTAATTTTCCCCTCCATATTGTGTAGTTCTAGTTCTACAAGTTCTAAGAGATTTCCTGGCAATATTACACAGACGGGAAATTATGTACATTATCTCACATATAAAGCTGTCTAATGTGCAAGAAATATGTGACATGTATTTCGCTCTAATGTGAAACCTTCAGGTTTCTAATCTCTTCAAATATACTAGATGTTAAATATGTATGGAAACACCTAGAAAACTGGCTAACATTTAAATTACTGGCCAAGATACAAAGTGAATATGTTATGTTTTTGCATAATAATGTAGTGATATTTCTAGATGCCCTGACAAGCAAAGATATCCTGTGGCAACATTTTGATATGAATATTTATAAGAATGTACTTAAGAATTTAAGATTTACTTTCTTTGAGAAACAATTTGCAATGTAGGAATACTCAGAAAACTGTTTTTTCAAACATTTAAACATATTTTTTAATACAATTATACTACCAACATCCCTCATCACAAATCTTTGAAAACATAATATAGTTCTATAATGCATAGTTGTATATATTATAGTCCTGTATAGTTACACTATGTACTTTATTGCCATTTTTTCAATTATATATTTTTATGGAATATGATTGTTTTATCTCAGAAATCAGCTGCTCAATACATTTTAAGTTGATTTCTCAATTCTAAATTCTAAATCCCTTCCCATAATTGAATTTAATTCAATGCCAAAAGCCTGATGCAGTATATATAAGCAAGCAATCTTCTCATATCTTCCTCTCAGTGCTTAGACTTCAATTCAACTGCCTTCACACTTACTTCTGCAGGTTCCCCAGAGAGTCACCCACACTGTTCTTCAACTCCTCCTTCCCCGGTTTGAGCTTCTCCTTTAGACCCGCAAACCCCCCCAATGGCATTTCTCCTTCCTTTGCTCTTCTGTCCCTCAAACACTTGTCTTCTCACACTTCTGCTCTTGCAGAAAAAAAGAGCAGGATATCCACTAGACGCTGGTGCACATCCTCTCCTGTGCTGGACTGAGATGGTCTAGGTGTGCTGGAGGGGAGGAGGAGAGATGCTGAGCCAGAGACGGAACAGAGAGAAAGAAGAGGAGGGACTTTGGTTTGGATGGTCTGGGTACAATCCTTCATGCGGTTTGGGCTAAGAGCATCCAGAAACGGGGTAAATCAGGGTGTCTTCGGGTCAATGTATCGGCATTGTGAATGTTTTGTTGGCATACATCAATAATGGAAACTCCGGCATTCTCTTCAGCTCCCTCACAGACAGTGACAGAAGATGCCGAACACCTGCCTCTTCTCCAACCCCTCCCTTCTTGGTCTTGCCCATACGAAAGCAGGCCAAAAAGAGTGACTAGCAGAGCTCATTAAATATTGACCATGAAGTCAAGAATCGCAGGCTCGGGGTTGTATAATACGAGCAGGTGTAACAAGACACTGCGTCCTCTAGTCCCAGTTTAACCCTTATCCCGAGAAACAGTTCCAGGGGTTCATGGGTCAAATGTATCAACGTCAACAACCAAACACTGATATAAAGGTTGAAACTGTGAGGGCCGTTGCACTGCAGTTGATGCACAAAAATCACATATGCAATCTAATTCTATTGCTTCTGTAAGTGAAGGGCTGTACCTTTTTTATGCAATAATCATCAAAAATGTAGTGTGCTTTAAAAATTCAGATATTGAGGTCTAAAAAATTAATTGGTAGTCTGCACGGCTCTCAGGCTGTGTTTCACTGATGCTTGTTTTAGGAGCCTCAATAGTCTGTTTTCCATGAGTAAAATCTGGAGCTTCCTCACTGAAGGTCTGCCATTCAATGCAAAGGTCATAAATAACTGAGAAACAGGGATTTACTATTTTCCACAATCAAAATGAGCATATGCATTCATGCAAATGAAGGTTCTTTATCTACAAAATGTGAACCAAAACAATAATAAAAATAAAAATAAATACATACAGTATAATAAAAAAATAAGTGTGCACAGGAAAATCTTCAATGTAAAAGTCTTGGTCTGCAGGTCTGAACTCTACACTGTGGTGTTGGTTTAACACCTGCAATTTTAATGTACAGTGCAGACTTATAGAGGAAAAATAACTGCCCACTTATATTGCACACACCCGTTTTCAGCAAACCATATTTTTTTTACACATACTGACCTGAACACACTGTCATGAAGGTTTTAACAGATTTGATTGTTTTCTCTTTACATGACAACAAAACAGGTTGACAGATTGACTTTGGTTTGGCAAAGTTTTTACATTTTTCTTTAATTTGAGTAATATTTTAGAACAAAACTGTACATTTGCTTTTATTCCTAAACATTCCTAAAAATATGTATCCATTAATGATAAAAGGTTATGTTTATTAAATATGCCAACGTTTCTTTTTTAATCTCTGTAAAATTACACAACTCTTATTTTGTGTTCGCTGATTCTTTCATGAGCAAAGAGGTTTCCAAGTCATTTTTTGAATCTGTTGATTAATTTTAATGTATTTACGAAAAAGTGCCACATCACTGCCCCATAAACTTTTACTGAAGTTATTTATTTGATATTAATAGTATAGTGTATCTTGAAAGCAGACTCTGGTCCAAGGCACTTTCTGTTTTAAAGAATAGAGTGACATCTAGTGGTTCACAGGAGCCAATGTGCAGCTGCCAAGCCAATTTTTGCTCAAATTATGTCAGTACTTTTTTTTAATAACTACTTGGTTGTAGAAATATGCCTTTATCTATTACCCTATCCTTACACTATATCCATAAATAGAAACAATATCTCTTTTCAAATCTTTGCTGCCCAGTTCAACAACTTGTCTTCCTCTGTGCTGATGCATCGTACATGTCAAATGTATGGACTTTTTGAAGCGGTGGTCACATTAAGTATTCATTTGCATCACTGAACTATGACTCTTGTGTTCTGTATGCAATATGCTCAATTAATGTCTCAATTTCCACAATTTTGGCTTATGGTTTTATGATTCTCAGGGTTTATGATTCTCCAAGCCATACAATCAATATAACGGCTTTAAAATCATCATCATCATCATCATCATCATCATAGAGAAATAAGGGAAGCGGAGCAAAGTTATATCCAATACATTTCTATGATTTTCCTAGAACTGGAAATAATAATTTTAAAAGTCACTGAAGCTTATGTTTTCAAAGAAATATTGTGCTAATAATAAAACATTGCTATTTTTTTTTTAAGGAGTTACGTTTGTGGGTATGTGTGTTGCTATAATAAAGTCAGTTGCAGCTACATACGAGATCAGATCACCTGCGTTTATTTTCAAGGATCAATAGAGGGAAATAAAAATGATTAAAATGTGCATCTCTTGTCCACTAGCTGGCGCGAGCGTCTGTTTTTTCTTTCAGAGTTGGTTACTCGATCGTTTCAATGCACACATAAGTGTGAAAGTTGTAATCAGGCCAGAAGAAGAGTTTTTGGTTTCAACCATCAAAAAACAATGCAAAGACACATTCATAAAATGAATCCATGGACTTTATCAAATACAATACAGACGACACAGCATCTTTAGATCACAGTGATGATTCGAGTCAATATATAAACAAAGTCTTTATTTATTTTTTCATGTGAGAAAAACAAAAAAATGACATATACAATAGTTTCCTTAAGCAAAATTAACGAAAATGCCATTACATATAAAGGGCGCTATTGTTATTTATAGCCTAGAGCAATAGGCCTACTCCATTTTATTTATTATTTCAAAGGTATTATCATTAAATTAATAAAACCAAGGATGACCTACTAATTCAGTTTAGTCTGTTACAACATGAAAGAGTAGCCTAAATGTCTAACTGACAAGCTTATTCAACAATCATATTTAGGCTGCCAGTAAAATTTGTTTCATTTGTACAATATGATGAGTCTACTCAAAATGAACAGGTAAAATTGATTGCCACAACGGATAAAATAAAATAGGCCCAAGTAAAATTCATACACGAAATATAAAATGTGGTGGTTTCTTGTTATGCTTTGTAAGCTGACACTAATTTACAGTTTAGGTAGGCTGTAAGTAGGCTATTTCTAAACTATTTGATTTTTTAGGCTATTTCTAAACTATTTGATTTTTTTTTTTCAGACAAATAGGGAGTGTGTCAAGAATGTTAAGATTAAATATAGGATCAAATATTATGACACTTTTAAACAAACCGAATAGATATAGTTTTTGGTCTGCTTTTTTGTAATATCATTTTCTTACCCCAACAAATCATCAATATGTTACTTACGTACATTCAGCCTCAAAATAACAGACAGTTCTAGTCTAAATATATATATGATGGTGCAAGAACGGAATGCGATATATGGTCGAATTACATTGCAGCAATCGAAAAGATGACTGACCGGCACTCGTTCAGTACCGCATACCGCCATCGCATCCGACCGTGACCGCATTTTTCTCGGCTTGCATAACATATCGCGTGACTTACTAGGTTAGTAACGTGAGGGAACGGACAGCAGAGAAGGCGGTGTTGATGATGGTAGGAGGAGATTGTGCGTCGTCTTCCGCGTTTCCCCGGATTTCAACCACTGTCCTGATTCCATCGTGTCCTCTCCTTGCACGTTTTTACGCTCGGCCCACCCTCCCAATTGAGTTAGTTGTAAAGAAAAAAATTCAATCAATTACAGGCCTCGCCGTCCCCCCCCTCCGCCTTCACCTCTCCTCTTTCTCTCCCCCCCGTGCAAATAACTACCACCGCCTTCGTTCTCCACATGAAGCATCGGAGTACTGGGCCCCGGCGTACCGGCTCCAGCCATGTCGGCGAGGAATACAGCGGCTGGCGGCGATGACGGAGCGACGGGGGAAAAGCCAGGTAACTCGCCGCTTAAAACAATACAAGTTAGTTCACCCTAGCCGGGTCCGCTTGAAGCGGAGAGAGTTGGTGTAGATTGCGCTGAGTGCCGGGCGGAGGAGAGGGAGCTCTCGGTGTTCCCCGCTGATTGGTTTGCACACTCGCGTTCGCTGTGAAACTAGGTCAGTAGTTCAGTAGAGCGAACTGAAGCAAACCCGAGCAGAGGCTCGTCGGAACTGCTCACCTTGCCACATATCGGGCTTTAACGCAGCTTCTTACCACATGTTCTGGTTTTAATGTGACTGATATTCACGTTTTTAATATGTAGTATGTTGTGCTGTAGTTATTTTGCGAGGCCTTTGGCAGATTGGCTGCCGTCACATTCAGTCAGCTGTGGCTATGCTAATTCTTTAAGTTAAGGGGTCATATGATGCTTTTTTTAAAGATCTTTATTTTGTGTATTTGGTGTAACAGAATGTTGACATGCTTTAATGTTCAAAAAACACATTTTTTAAATACTGTACATTATTGTAGGTCCTCTATGCCCCGCATCTCTCAAACATGTCGTTTTCTACAAAGTCCCTCCTTCCGACAAGCGCAGTCTGCTCTGATTGGCCAGCTGACCCAGTGCATTGTGATTGGTTGAACACCGCAAGCACTCGTCGGAAATGTAACGCCCCTTACCATAATCGCGAGCTACAGCTTTCAAAATAAATGTAAAGACAGAGCCCGAAAGGGGAACAGAGTCGCGTGACAGACACAGTGATGAAGCTGAAATGTGTTTGCAGTACACAAGCCACGGTTAAGACAGCTGACTCCACTGTGATGTGACCCGGATTGTCATAGCAAAGTCAGAATTACCTCCTCTCCTAGGTTCACGAAACGGTTGTCCATAAAATGCATTGCTGTTCTGTTGTAAGTAATCTTAAAGATTCCTAAATGCATCTACTTTCAGAAGGCCAAATAAAGTGCTTTTGCTTTCGCCTAGAAACACACAGCGTCTCCCTGACATGCTGCTTCAACACTAACTGCGGTTACTGAAACCACGCCTTCTTTCTTTGCGTGCACATTTGGGCGGCATTATGCAAATATTTCCACATAGTGAGGTAGATATGTGGGGGCGTGTTAGAATGAGCCGTTTTAGGGGGGCGTGGCAGAGTCTTAACTTTTATAAAGAATATTTATTTGGTTTTGAGACTTTAGTCTTTGCAACTTCAGGGATCTTATCTATTCACGAACAGCTTGTAACACTCCAAAGAGAAAGGAAAACTTGAAATCGCATCATATGACCCCTTTTTAAGTTAAATGGTTTGGTTGTTCCAGTTGCGTATAACGGTAAATGTCTTAATGTGTGTATTCGCATGCTACTGTCCATTTTTTTATTTTCTGTGTTTTCGGAAACTTTGTATCTTTCATATGGCATACTTTTAAAAAAAAAATTTTTTAATGTATTTTCCTAACCTCCACCGATGGTCATAATAAAATAATCTGATTTTGTCCGAAAAATGTTAAATTGATGATTTAGCCTGTTGTGTTTACATTTGTGTATAACGGTGGAAATTATATAGAACTGTTCTGTTTGTGATTCATCTTTTAGTTGTTCCGCCACGCGCCACCCTTTATTTTTGTGGGGAAAAAAATATATAGAAATGTATTGCCCTCACCTTTGTGTTGTTCAACACAAAAAAGCAGAAAATAATCTTTACAATTGTAGTGTATTGACTATTTAAAAGGAGGCATAAATGCTATTGGCCATAACTGTATATTGTATAAAATGTGATTTAAGATGTTTAATCAAGTTATTTCTTTATTTACTGATTGACTACCACAACTCCTGATGTGTGTCTTTAACACATTGCCATATGGCCAACTATTCAGAACAGTTTTTGGTTTATTTTAAGTACTTCATTTGCGATTTCAGTAAACGAGTCAAATTAATTCATTAGTAATCCGACTGATTGAATCATAAGTGCTTTGATTCGGTTCACAAGAGTCATTCATTCGTAAATCATATGTTTTTAATTCTCAGCTATAAGTGTGTAGAAAACTATAATACTGGCTTTTGATGAATCATCTTTTATTTATATGATTCTTTAATATATGGTTTCATAGACTACATAAGCCCCAAAGAAACGTTCTTACTCTATTGTTCTGCTTCAGAAAGTTTATTCTATGTATTTGTTTTACTGTACGTACTGTGAATATTTGTTCAATATATTGGGTTTTGGAGGTCACAAATACACTGTCTAGTAGAGAAGCCTTTCCCTTAGTGAATTCACTCTCATTTTTAATGAGTGAAACTGCCTCCTGTGACGTAAATGTGAATCATTAGCATTGTAAGGTCATAGTGCTGCCTGATCTAGTCTGCTTTCTTGTAACGTGATGGTTGTGTAATATGTAGGTCAAACTCGGCACACTTGTAGGCCAGAGCTGTGATGCCCTCCTCTTCCTCAGGCGTTGCTTTCTCTCTTCAGCCTAACTCAGTCAGTGAACCTTTGCATAACTAGGCTATGAACAATCTGAAACAAAGCTGTTTAATGTAATAGGGCACTTGTGCTTTTAATTCTCGCTAAAGTGTAACCTAAATCTGCTGTCAGTTTGGTTCCTCTCGTGACAGACTCCCCCTCCCTTCCCCAATACTGAAAAACGTGACTGGGATTTAGGGTCTCATCTGGAAAGTATGTCTCTTAGGTAACTGGTCTTTTGAGTTACATATTCCAGTCATTTCGGTGATAGGTGTTTTTTCAGGTCAATTATTTACTATCCTACGCTTCTGGTAAATTCTGGCAAAGCTGATAAATAAAATGCACTTGTCCTGGTAAATTGTCTGTGGGAATTATGTGTAGGGGGGAAAAGACAGCATTGTATATTAATACCTTCTTCGTTTATTTATTATTATAATGTGAGTCTTCCCTGAGTGATATTAATATACGTATGATTATAAAGGTCATTAAAAAGTGCGATGCAAAATAGAATGAATGAGCTAATTCTATTCCTACATTTTCATTTTGAAAGCCTTGTCAATATTTTATTGAATTTTTTTATTGAATTTCCTCAAAATCATTCCTTATCCTTACGGGCTATATTATATTATATTACATTATATTATGACCTTCATGTTTCTAGCACCATGCTGAAGGAAAGCCATATATTATATTGTATTATATTATGATTTATATTATATCATGTTATATTTTATTTATTATATTATGTTATAATGTTATTTTGCATTTTTCATTACATATTGCATCGCTTTGCACTCCTGTAATTTTTTTAAAATATGGTTTAAACATATTTAACACTCTTTCTATATTAATATCATATGGCACATACAGTGGGGAAAAAAAGTATTTAGTCAGCCACCAATTGTGCTAACTACATGTATTACACTCATTTAAATGTTAGTATAGCCATTACTTTCAAAAAGTATTTAATCTTCTAAAAGCATTTCTTGGATTGCTTGACCTGAATACATAAAAAGTTTTAATAGAAGTTCACTCATGTTCATCAAAAGTAGGTCAGCAAAAGTGGGGTTTATTGTGACACTTTTGCACTGTTTTAGCAATACTTTGACCACTACCTGTCTATAGCATATATTAGATGAAATATGTTGCACGATGGGTTGCTACACCAGATCCTGTATGAGGTTCCATTTGTGTCAAAAATGAGTCGACTGCATGGTACTATACATTTGTCTTTGTCTACAGTCATTGCCTACTTGTTCAGGTAAATCAGTATATGTAGGTGTTCTGTCGTATTAGTTAGGACGACAGTAAGGACGACACAACAAGATGACAGAACAAAATGATAATAAGGACGACAGTAATTAAACGACAGAGAAAAAGCAGGCAGGACGACAGATTAAGACGGCATCAACAGACAACGTACACACCAACATATACTGATTTACCTGAACAAGTAGGCAATGACTGTAGACAAAGACAAATGTATAGTACAAAGCAGTCGACTTATTTTTGACACAAATGGAACCTCATAATCCTGAGCTACAGGGAAGAGTTTTTATACATCTCAAATCATCCAATGTTGAGGACTGCGTTGTGTGAAATAGAGAGCTTTGAAAGTAGTTGCACATTTGTTTCTGAGAAATGTTATAGAAAATTTCATGTATTATTTTTATTTGTGCAAACAGACATAAGTACAATTAAAAGCAAAATTATTCAGAAGAGAATTTAAGATTGCAGTCTAGTGGATCATCTTATTATGTGCCGCACACAAGTGTTGCATATACACTTTGTCATGGTCTCTGAAGAGGCTCTTGCTATTTGAATGGTGAGGCTATTTTGAGAATGCGTTTTTATTCAACTAAATGGGAGAGTCTTGTTCAATGTCTTGTTCTCAAGGACCACTTTACAGACCTCTTTAAATCTCGGAAATAATAGTTAAGAATGATTGTTTTGATAATGTTCTGATTGTCACATCTCAACTCTGTGTGTCAGTTTTACAGCTTGTCTTGACTTCCTCTCCTGTCGAAGAGACAGTTCGTTTCCTGTTGCCTTCATGTCTAGACATTAGATTTTTATTTTTTTTTGGATCATGCTATTTAGATGTTAAGCATTTATTCTTCCCTTGTTTTCAGAGAAACTATTAAGATAGGTGTGCCTCGTGAAATTTGTGTGCACATGATTTAAATTGTTTTTTGTTATTGCATTATTGGTGTTTCTTGGTCATTCGCATGTTTGTAGAGCGGTTTATTTTTTTTATGTAGAAGGGCCAGATGCCTGGTAAGCTTTGAGATTTGCATAAAGCAGTGCCAGCATCAAGCTCAAAGAATTTACCTTTTACTTATCCAGTTTATTACAAACCCACATCAAAATGATTTCTAAATCTGATGCTTATGTGCCTTTCATTTATGGCTAGTTGTGTTGGAATGAAATGTAAGCAAACTTTCTTTACTGAAACTCACAATACAAAGTGTACATGGATTAAAAGCAATAATAATTAATACATTAAAAGTCCACAGTTTTGCTTATAAGAGATAAGTAAATGAAGACTACTTGTTGTGATCCATTAGAAATTTGAAAGACAAGTTGTCAAGAAGATTGATACTTTTATAACTACATTATACTTTTATTCTTACATTTTTATAAAAATCAAGAGACTTAAATTTTTTTTCTTTAAATAGGAGTGTCATAATTTTGTAGCTTATCTAGTGGTTATAGCCATGGGTTAGTTGCCTAATTATCAAAATAGACTAATTTAATTCTTTTAAATCAGTCTATTGATAAATTGCCAGCTGTTGAGGCAAGTCACTTTTGTATTTGTCTAAACTGAATGGCAATTTAACTGCCTTTTTTAGCTTTTTGTTTTAGACATTTGTCATGTAGGCCTGTCGCAATAATCAATATAACGACTTATCGCACAATATATGTACATGACCTCAATCATTTTTGGGGACGCAATATATCGCCCATTATATTTACTTAAAAATTAATGTCACCATGTTTTGTACATTCCACTTGCGCCTGTGTCTTTTGCAACTTCTCGTACATAACGTGATGTAGTCATGAGGTGCTAGTTCAAATTTAAAAAATGCTTCTACAAAAAAAGTTTCATCGGCAGATATGGTTTTGTTTCGTGCCTTTGTGCATACGGACATCTGAAGTAGAGATTGTGTTTTTCAGCAATAGTGTGCACCCTTGATTTACAGAGAAAGAAGGTCAGGGAAAAATCTGTAAATGGAAAAATCTCCATACAAGTTCTTTGTGCATTTTTCTTTTTTTCTGCTTGTTACTTTGCAGTTTTTGTTAGAAAATGTTTATTTACTATTTATTCAGGTTTTTTAAATTATCTAATATTTTGATACTTAATTTCCATGATCTAAATATTCTTAAAAATTAAAAGTTTGTTATCATTTGGAAGTGTGCAGGCCTTCTTGCATTATTATGCTGTTACATTATGATTATATATTCAGTGGCATAAAATGGTCTTTAGAATGACAATAATATCGCTTATCGCAATTATTTCTGGGGCAATATATCGCACAACAAAAAGTTGTTATCGTGACAGGCCTATTGTCATGTCTACGGATTCTCACATTGTAGACAAATTTCTTAAGCAACTAAAAATAGAGCACACCATGCAACTGAGTAATTTTCACTACATTAATATGGAAAAGTCTGAAAAAATGAACATAATTGCCTTGCATTGAACATTATTGTGGCATTATTGCAGTGTTTTGCTTTCGTCATACAGAAAATCCACCATCCAATGCCATGATGCTTCAACCGGCTTGATTTGTGGTATTAAACAACCTAGACAATAAGTAGACATTAGTAATTGACGTTCACGCTTTAGTGAATGGAACGCACCAATGTTTTATTTAACTGTGGGAAGAATTAACATGGTTTTTCATCTGAATCATCAATCATTTGCTGTTAAATTTCTAATAAGGCACTATACCATTTGTCAGTTGCACATGTTATCAGCAAGCTTAGCATATAGCATAAGTGCGGACATAATAAATGTATTATATTAGTTATAGATTGTTATTGATCAGTTGCCCAATATTGTTGTATAATGAGTGCCAAACTAATTGACTGTTGTCATCTGTTCTTAACAAATCATTTTTAGCTGAAATCAGTATTTTGATGTCTGTTTATTTAATCAATATTTCGTTAATTTATTATTTAGTTCTTTTGGTAAGTAGCCATTTAATAAGCGGAATAATCTACAGTCAGCCAGTCATTATTAAAAAATAAACCCATTCAGGTTGATACCAGACCATCTGCTTTGTCGAAGTCCTGATGACCCTGTTGTTGTTTAGTGACTGAATGATTGTAAGCTAGCTCTTACTTAAGCTTTTGAGTCACAAATGAGTAAATATTTATTTTATAAGTTACAGCAGATCCTTCTTCCCACACATCAATAGAGCTGACTTATTGAGGGAATTTGCAAGAGCATTCAATACATCACAGAAAACCAGTCTTCAGTTTACAGGACATAATAACTTGTGATGTCAACATTATAATTAAACCCTGTGGTTACCTGTTTGTCCAACATTTAGCTTAACAGTTAATTTAATACTCAACAGTGAGACATAAAATACTACCAAGATGTGGTGCCAAAAGTGTGCCAAAGCTAAAAACATTGAAGTGGATTCACTGACCTACTTTCATACACTTTTGTCACGTTTCTTGCACAACATTTGACGTAAATAAATTGAGTTTGGACATGTTTCTCGTGCAGCTCTATGGTAACAGTGCAAAGTATCATGAATAATTACCTCACCTTGTGATCATTTTTCTCCGTGATGACAAGTAGTGCTTGCATTGATTGTTTTTCCAAGTTATTTAGACCGATAATCCAGTAAATGATTCAGGCATTTTGCAACTTGTGTGTGTATTGCTTTTAATGACATTTAAAGAGTATAATTACACTTAAAATGCATTTGTTTTCAGTATGGTTAAGGTGATGAGTGATGTGTTCTTTCTGAGGTTGAATACTTTGAAAATAATTGGACGTAGGCTTGTGCATAGCCTACATATATGTTTATATGCATTTGAATGATCCATCATGGAAAATGAATGGTGAGTCAGTGAAATGGCCTTTCTCTTGTGCAAATGACATCACACAGTCGTCATGAGCGCTAGTATCCGAATGCAGGTCAGTGAAGTCCAGGTAATATCAGGAGCCAGTGTAAGACGGAGCTCTTCACTGTTGGGTGCGGCCTTCCTATCGGCCGCATAAAACCAAATAATCCCGCCGCAGATCTTCACTCCAGCACACAGGATTAAAAATCAGGTTGTTGCCGATCTGTTAACGACTATTTAGGTCACTAGGCATGCGGAACACTGTTAAATATAGGAGCCAGGGGCACAAGCTGTGTTTGGCCTGGCCTGTTCCATTGTCGCCTGAACCTGATGGCACTGTGACAACACACACGCAAAGTACATGCACGTGTACACATGGCCGGTCTGAGGAGGAGGCGCAGATGCAGTTCAGGATCTGATGAGGTGGAGCGGATCTGTTGATCTTAGAGGCTTAAAGCAACAGGTGAAGCAGGCGAGAAAACAAACTGTACCATTAAAGCATGAATAAGGTGATCTGCTTGCAGGGAGTTTGTGAATGGATTATGGTGGTCAATGGCAATAACAGATGGCAAATACAGCTCAATTATGTGTCTGCCAGGTAGAGCTGCACAGTTTGCTCAGAAAAGTAATATTACAGTTAGTGCAACAAAGATTGTGATTTGAACTGCAGCATGATAAACCGTAAAGTGTGAAGATCTTCGTTTTATTCTTTGCATTCACTTTGAAGTTTTACCCTTTATATGGGCTAGTTGTTTTCAATAATAATAATAATAACGAACTTCTTCATTTTTTTTTCTTTTTCAGTTATTGTTGAAATAATAATAAATGTAGTAATATTGTGTGGAGTTTTATTTTCTTAATTATTATTATTATTATTATTATTTGTTTATTATTATTATTATTTTGCATTCACATTGTAGCTTTACTTTGGCATGGACTAGGGGTTATTTCAATAATAAGAGTAATACTAATTTAATCAATAATAGCATTTTTCATTTCATGGAAATAATTTTTATTTTTCCAATGTTGTAATAATAATAATAATATGTGAAGAAAATGTATTTATTTGCATTCACATTGTGGCTTTACTTCAGCATGGTCTATTTGTTCTTATTTCAGTAATAATAATAATAATAATACGTGAAGAGATTTATTTATTTGCATTCACACTTTAGCTCTACTTCAGCATGGGCTAATTGTTGATATTATTTCAGTAATTATAATTATTATTTTATATTAATTTGAATAATCACACTTGGGCTATTTTATTTTACTTTAATATATAGAAACCAAAACTGAAATTGAATTGACAATATGTCTTCCATCAGAGTCCTTTACTTTGATTTGCAACGATGACTAAATGCTGCAGTGATTTTAGCCAAAAACCAGAAGCTAAAGCCGTTTTAACTCAACAGATGCATGATCTTAATGTTTGACAGTGCTGTTCTGTCCTCAATAATGGAGACTGGATATTATGTAAATAGAAATAGATACACTGCTATAAAATGCTTCTCGTTTTAAAGCTTTGTTTGTACAGGAAGTCAGAGACCGTGTATTAAAACGAACTTGCATATTCCTTCTTGTCTGAATGGGCGTATAGATGTGCATAAAGGAAAGAGTGATGCACGTTTTTGTGGAGGTGAAGTAGGTTGTCTGTATGTATTGTGCACATGGTCGCCCAGCCTCAATGCGGCAAGTAGTTCTCTGTGAACTTTTCTTTCTAAGAACCAGCTGTAAACTGGGTTTCTGGGTTTTAAGATTACTCTTTTAAGACGACTTTCACAAGATAAAAAAAAAATCGCTATCACTCTGAATTCACACAAAAATCCGCCGATTACAGATGGTCTGATTCTTTAGATGTCTGTTATGAAATCTGTTCCACAGTGCCCTGGTTCCAATATGTAGCACGCAGTTGTGTTTTGGCATGTTTCTTTTTGTAAGTTTACTATAATAAATCCCTCCCACCATTGGCAGGAGACACATTAGAGGAAGAACCCCAGGGCCTCTCTGTCTCTCTGTCTGGTTTGATGACCCCCACCTCAGCCACCGGCATGGCCTCAGGCATGGAGCTGCCCAGGAAACGGAAAGGCAGCATGGACAACCCGTGAGTATATTTACATATATTTACAATCTTTTTTCGTTTTATTTTACATTAATTACTAATGGGAAAAGACACAAATGTGCCTTTTCCCCATTAGTAATGAATGTAAAATAAAACGAAAATAGAAGATCTCGTGAGTGTGGATCATAATTTCCTATACTAAGTAACTTAACAGATTGACGCACCAAATAAAAAGATCAAGTAACGGAAGAGCGCAGTGCAAACAGCGTTGTTGACATATATTTACATTCTTCACTAGTAAAGGCTGGCGGTTTGACAAAATATGACCGTTACTGTATAAATCACAATATTGTTTTTTTTTCAGTAATAAGAAATTAAAGATTGGAAATTGTTTATTTAAATGGTTTGAAGAATTGTTTGCGTGGCAATGCCTATTTTTAAATAATCTAGTTATTTAAATGCTTAAATCTTATCTTTAAAATTTTTTTTATAAAAAAGTAATTACTTAAATTATTTAAATGTTGTTTGCATATTGTGAATTTGTTCAAAAGTGTTTTTTTATTTGTGTTAAATTAATACTGTTATTCGCCAAAGACAAGGATGCGTTAAATTATTAAAAACTGATACTAAGGACATGTATAATGTTACAAAAGAATTCAGATAAATACTGTTCTTTTGAACTTCATCAAGAATCCTGGAAAAATGTATCATGGCTTTTACAAAATTATATTAACCATAATAAGAAATGATTCTTGAGCACCAAATCAGCATATTAGAATGATTTCTGAAGGATCATGTGAAACTGAAGACTGGAGTAAGGGTTGCTGAAAATTCAGCTTTGCCATCACGGGAATAATATATATTTTAAAATATATTAAAAGAGAAAACAGTCATTTTAAATTGTAATATTTCATAGTTACTGTTTTTACTGTAATAAATGTGGCTTTTGAATAGTAGTATAATTTCTTTTGTATTTTTAACTATCTCAAATCTCCTTTTCATTCCTCTATTTTTTCATTTGTTGCGTGATGGACACAAACCACCAAAAACATGAAAAAATAGTAGTTCTGTACTATTTGTACTGCCTTTTAATGCTGTCTGGATAAGTCACATTGACTGCATAGCTTTAATTTGTATTGATGAGATGAGTCACATAGTTGTTGTACAGCTGTATATCTTTGCCGCTTTGTTTTTTGCATTACTCCATGTTTCTTTGGGATTAAAGTAAAGTCCATCCCACATAAATGTCTATATATGTTAAATATCCTCATACCACCCAGCCCTAGTTTCTTGAAAAAGTATGTGCGTGGGTGTGAGAATGTAACACATTAATATTCGATGTTTGGATTTTATAGCTGATGACTAATATCCTCTTGTTTGGCCTGTTAGCCCCTGTCCTGCTTTTCTGAATGAGTCGAGATGCATTGGGAAGGATGTGCGTGGTCTGTGTTTAATGTCCTCTTAGAATCACGGCAGCATTTCATGAGTCACTTTAATCATCTCACCACTTTGTTTCCAGGGAAACTAAATCTGCATCAAATCTAGAGGAGGATATGGAGGACGATCAGGGAAGGTACTAAGGCTATTACGAAACTCAATATGGCTCACCTTGATCTACGATTTTAATCATTACTTTTAACACTTTTATTATTATGTTTTCTTAGATCGGAAGGAGACGACCAGCACTTAAAAATTAAGTGTGTCAGGTACTTATCACTAAAATTTTAATTTTATTTTTTATTTATTTATTTATCTACTTTTTTAAAGTTATTATTATTTAGTTGTTAAATTTGAAGTTTCCACTGTCATTGAAATTCAAACACTAAAAAAAAAAAAAAACTCAACATAAAAAATGCAAAAAATCAGTAAAACTGTAGGCAATTAATATGTATGTTAACTAAACTAATCTATTTACTAAAGGTCTGGTATGGCATGTGTATACACTGATCAGCTTCAACATTAAAGCTACTGCCAGGTGAAATAAATAACATTGGCTGTGACCGTGGGAAGATAGTCTTTGTCTCCGAATCGGTTTCAAAAATGCTGAATTACAGTCGGGTAGGACGGTTCAACAATATATATATATATATATATATATATATATATATATATATGTGTGTGTGTATAACACATT